GTGTGTCCAACCTGTGATGACATACGGAGCCGTGACGTGGACACTGACGGTACGGCTGGTCCACAGGTTCAAAGTCGCTCAGCGCGCTATGGAAAGGGCTATGCTCGGCGTTTCTCTGAAAGATCGCATCAGAAATGAGGTAATCCGACAGAGAACCAGAGTTATCGACATAGCCCACCGAATTAGCAAGTTGAAGTGGCAGTGGGCTGGCCATATTTGCCGAAGAACCGATAACCGTTGGGGTAGACGAGTTCTGGAGTGGAGACCGCGTCTAGGCAAACGTAGTGTAGGACGTCCTCAGGCACGATGGAGTGACGATTTGCGCAAGGTGGCTGGCAGGAGCTGGATGCGAGTAGCCCAAAGATCGATCTGAGTGGCGTGCATTTGGACAGGCCTATGTCCAGCAGTGGACTATGATAGGCTGTTGATGATGATGATGATGGTGTCGATTCTGGCATGATTCTCTAAACTTAGGATTGAATTAGTATAGGATCAGTCCCTCTTTTTCATTCTGTATTGAGAATGACAAGGATACACTTTTGTCGGATTTGGGTTTGTGTTTACAGAATCATGCTAGAATTGACACCGATGTATGTGTAGAATGAGTGCATCTTAATTTATAATTTATATTGTCTAATATTATAAAGGCGAAAGTTTGTGAGTGTGTATGTTTGTTACTTCTTCACGTCTAAACGGCTGGAGCGATTTTAATAAAATTTGGTATGGAGTTAGCTGACACCCTAGATTAACACATAAGCTACTTTTATCCTAAAAAAATGTTAGGTTCCAGAGAGATTTTCAAGAAACTAAGTTAACGCAAAGAAAGTCGCGGGTGACCTCTAGTATAATAATGTATTTTAAATGGATGTAATAACCGTCTAAAAACGCTGTGCCCTTGCAGGGCGTCACATGGTTACTGTATTTTTCTGTACCACCTTGTTTCTGTGAATGTGATATGCAATAAATAAATATTAAACAATTTCACATCATAAAACTATAAAATACACTAACTATAAACAAATAAGTCTCTATCTAATTACATTACACTATATATAAGTAAAATATAAATACTAGAACAATAAAACTAAAACTAAAAACCTCAAAAAATAAAATTAATAACTAAAATATATTATTAAAAGGAGTCTTTTTAGGCAAGGATCCGAAGATACTGGCAGCGATACCCCTTTGAATGGCTAGACTAATTCTTTGTCCGAGGTAGCTGCCAGCTCTTCGGTCTCCTGTGACGTCGACTAACCTTTTTGCTATTTCCTTAAATAGCCTTAAAGCGCTAGGACCCCACGGACCAAGGGTCTCGACACCAAATGGGACAAAATCATATTCGGAGCCTAGACCCCTGTATTTGCTTGCTTTTGATTTTTCAGCCGCTTCGCAAGCCGCACCAATAAATAAAAAAGATCTCTTTACTTATAGATAGAAGATAATTTTCACATTAATAATTTTTGTTAGATAAATAATAAGTTTGATATAATAATTTATATTTAATTCATTTTTAACAAATGCTTAATAAATCTTCTTCTTTGGTTGGTGTGGTTTTTCTTGGTGAAAGCGCCATCCTAAGATGGCACTTCATTCCAAGGAAAGTCTGCCATCTCCTATATATTAGGTTTCGTTATACCGGCCATACACCCTACGAGAAATCGTTACGATCAGACTGTACAGTTCGAACGGTACATTTTATACGTCTTTCGTTTAGTATAGGAAACTGTGCAGTTTTATAACATACACGCTACGATTTATCGGTACCGTTCGGACTGTACAGTCTAATCGTAACGATTTCTCGTAGTGTGTATGGCCGGTATTATAAAGTTTATAATACAACCACCTTGATGGTTGAATGACCTTACTTGTCCTATTAAAATCAAATCCGTATTTGGCAGCTCCATTTGGTGTTGATACTTATTTATGTGAATTTATTCTTTTGTCTGACCATTATATTAATAGCCGGAGAAAAAACTTGATCATGTTACTTTAGCCTCTTATTGAGAGCTCAAAACTTGAAAAAGCACTCAATTAAATGAAAGAAACTAGCGCTGCTTTGTTTATTATTTTTAATTTTAAATAAAGGCAGAAGGAAATATTGCTGAGCGTTTTTTGTTGATTGTCGATGAAACTAGTCCTTTCAGCTTAAAGGTAACGATTTTAATACGCCTAGCCGATGCATAGAAACTCCGTGTAAAAAGTATAATTTATTGATTGTTTTGACTTAAAGTTGATTTTAATGTGTAAATTATTGAAATACGTAAATTAGTGAACAATTATAAATTTGCATTTTATAACATACAAGAGGTCCCCTGCGGTTATAGTGAGTCAAACTTATAAGATGGACATAATTATGCTGTCACTGACTTTTTATAGTGCTTTTAAAGGGAAACAATTTCGGTAATTTAAACGGAAACATGCTTTTATTATACTAGCGAATGCAACTCAAGTTCTCAAATGGAATATCCCGTTTTTGCAATATTTTTCGTCAATGATCCACTCCTATTGCTCGCAGCGTTATGTAATGTAGCCTATAAATTCAATATATATATATATATATACATATATATATATCTATATGAGTGATGCGTGCGCTGCTGCATTCCCCTATGTCTGTCTAATGTTAGCTTATTTAAGAAAAGAAGTTTCACTTCGGATGTGTTGTCCGTGCATACAATTTTTCTTAATCCAGTACTGTACCGACTCAGATTATCTCGTTCAACTAAACAAACAAACAAGTTCAGCTTTACATTAATAGTAGTATAGATTTAGGATCGAATCTCTAACTTTAACTAAACCGCCGAAAATTGATATCATCAAACACACATTTTTAATCCAATCCCATATCACAACTCTCTCACAATTACCATGTAAATTAGACACGCGCGTAAACCCTTACTCACTCTGGTCCAAAACTTGGTGTACCAAAAATGGACAGCGTGGGCGCAACTGGAACCAAACGTACCAAATATGGGCCAACGATCATGAATAATATAATACCTGCTGTTGACCGCCGAGCTGCTTAATTATGTTCCGTTTTTGTACCAACATTGTTAAAGCTTCAAATGAGATTGTGGTATTGACAATATCGAGACGGTGGTATTGATTTGTTGTAAATTCCTTTTGATATCAGGTTGCGTATAAATTTAACACCATTGTTTAGTTACAAACCGAGCTAGTGTTGTATTGATACTGTATAATCAAGGCTGGAGCATATACTGTTGAGCATAAAATGTTATTGCTAAGTAAAGACTATAGACTATCAAGTATCAACTTCAAACAATACTTGGTTCTTATGCTGCAACCATAACACTATTATCAAGAAATAATAGTGTTAACCTACCATTCACTCGTTATTGTTAACATAATTATATTTTTATTGACTCTGTGAATAATAAAATAGGGAGAAAAAAACAGCCCTTGCTGAGTTTCTTGCCGGTACTTCTCAGTACAAGGTCTCCCGACGTAGATTTACGAACCGATGGCGTAGCCAGCGTAGCCATCTAGATAGATTTCTTTATTGCAAAAAATATAATACAATAAGATGACATGTATACAAAACAGATTCTACATATTTTACCATAAATGGCATGCAATTTATACAAAAGACAAATAGCTAAATTAAAATAAGGGTCTTTACTATACAATTATAAATACAATGATATTTAATACAAAAAAAATTCCATTAAGTAATTTTTTAAATTTAAATATATATATACAGAAACTTCAATCATATTCATTCATTTCATCAAAATAAACCATGCAATAGTAAATAAATAGCTTATTTACATTATTAGATTGTTAAATTTGTCATTAAAAATTTTTTACAGTATTTTTTTTCTCTTGAGCCAAGTCATTAGTTTTGATTTAAATAATTTAATAGAATTCACAGTGCTTGAACAGCCTAAACTGAATATATATGATTTTGATTATAATTATTATGATTATGATTATTATTTAGTTTGCTATCCGAGCAAATATGTTGAAAGCTAGCAGTATTTCCACTCTCAGTCCAGCATGGACGGATGCCAAAATTTATTTTCGTGATATAAATTTGGTGTGATAGCTTATGTTAGTCACACACACACAGAATTGGTAAGCACTGGTCCATTTACTGGCCCGTAGCTGAAGTTGGTAGGGCTTAAGTAATACTGGGACCTATAAAAGCGCTTTTTATAAGCACATTTGCAGGCAATTAATTACTTTAATAGGGTATTTGACAATATTAAAAATGAAGTTCCAATAGGGATGATGACTAATTATTTTTCTTCGTTTATCCGGTAGATTGACGGTAGATCCGGTGATGACGTGGTACAGTAAACGAAATTCTATTTAGTCCGTCAGTTAGATGATCAAAAAGTATTGGACACGTATTTTTTCTTTTTTCACATAATATAAACATTGCAGAGATATATTGATTTGAAAAGTCGCATGACGTCACGTTTGAGTACACTTATAAGTGAAAATACACATAAGTGAAAGTACACTTAGAAGTCACGAGCCCCTACTCCCAAACTTTGACGCGCTATAACATTGTCATTTTTTGGTTGATTGTCCAAAGAAAAAATACGTGTCCATTATTTTTCGATCATCTAACTGACGGACTTAATAGAATTTCGTTTACTGTACCCCGTCATCACCCCTATTGTCAACGTCTGTTTTTAGAATAAATATTGGCAGAAGTTTTTACTATTTTCACGGAAAAAATGTATATAATTTTATTAAAAACCCAGGAAAAAGATAATAGTTTTTGTATATATTGTCACGTAGCCCAATACGCTTGGGATTGGCGGAGCCTAAAATGACGTCACACTCTAGTAAACTTCTAGTGCAAGTGACATGACGTTGTAGCGTTTGATGTTTTAATGACAATCGTGTGACGTCACATACCAGTAAGATGCCATTATGTGCAGAGAAACGCTTTCACGGCAATTTGTAAATGGAGTTTTTTATTTAGTTCTTATTTATAGAACATTTTCTAAGTATTCTTTGGTTTCCAGGCATGAAGCGGCCAGCCATCCAGACCTGGGCGTCCAGCTGGACGTGTTCGAGGAGCAGAGGGAGAGCGACGAGGCCCAAGGACCTGGGGGCATCAACCTCAACTCTCACCTGGACGTCTTCTACGCCATCTTGAAGCAGGTTGATTATTTCTTCTTCATCAAGGTTCATAGACAATGTTACAGGATTCTGAGAATCAGCTTACTAGTAGCGTCAGAGTTCTATCTTATGATAGACCTTATGGTCAGCAGAAGATGAATCAGTTATTGTTTTTTTTTAAATTTAATTTGCATCTTTAAGCTTCCAGTATTCTGAAGCACGAAGATGGAAAAAATAAATTTTCGATTTTTTTAAGTGGTTCTATTGGTACTGCCAAGTTCTTTTTAAAGTCTCCAATTGCTCCATTTCATAAAATTTTTGGCTTAATTTTGGCATGATTTCCTAAACTTAAAAACTAGTTGTGACAGCAGTCTCTCCTTTTCAATCTATACAGAACACGATAAGGGATACTTTTCTCAAATTTAGGGTTTCGCACCTGACGACTCTGTATATAACAGTACAGGGAGAAAAAAACAACCCTTGCTGAGTTTCTTGTCGGTACTTCTCAGTACAAGGTCTCCCGCCGTAGATTTGCGAACCGATGGCGTAGCTTCTTGACCTTCACAAGTGCTTGTAACAGCCTAGACTGAATTAATGACTTTTCATATTCATTCATTTTCATTTAATGAATCATGCCAGAATCAGAAGCCTAAGCACGAGTTTTTTGCTGCTCCATAAAGTATCATAATCGTCAATTTTTTGTGGTAAAGGCTAGTTTGTCCTTACGTCCGATAGGGGCGCTGCATAGTTTTCGTAGAAACTTTGACGTTACGGAGCTGTCAAAAACTCGTGCCTGGACCTCTGGAGCATTGTTACTTTCCTGATTGTTGTAGCTTTATAATTTTCTCGCTAGGTTGCCGACACTCCCCAAGAGATTCCTTTCCTGAGCATCCTGCAGCATCTTTTACGCATCGATCCCAAGGAGGCGGTCAGCGACATCGTATGGGATACTGCTGAGACCCTGGTCCACCGAGCCACGTTGCTGGAGAGCAGGGAGGATGCTGCTAAACTACTAAGAGCTCCTAGCATACAGGTATAACTGAGTATTTGCTAATACATCTATGAATTCAAAAATTCTCTTACACTCATGTTTCTTTTAGATGCAAAAAATTTCGTACCTTGTCAATATTGTAGGTATTCCTAGCATTTAAATAAATAATTCTCGATTTGATTTTCCTTTTTATAGATAGACTAGCGGACCCGACAGACCTTGTCCTGTCTACACGTCTTTAATTTGAAAATTTCAATCTTTTTTTAATAAGCTAAAACATTCTGGACCATTTTGATGAAAATTACCATTCTCAGATCCCCTTGAACACACACAAAAAATTTCATCAAAATCCAGTCGTTTAAGAGAAGTTCAGTGACATACACACTCACAGAAGAATTATATATATAAAGATTTGACACTGCGATGGTAGCGCCGTCTGTCGGATCCAATGTAAAACATTCCAAAATCAACAACTACTAATAAATTGAAAATTAATTAAAAAAACATTGTCCAGCGGACAAAATTGTGAATCTAAACCATTCTCAGATCCCCTTGAACACACACAAAAAATTTCATCAAAATCGGTCCAGTCGTTTAAGAGAAGTTCAGTGACATACACACTCACAGAAGAATTATATATATAAAGATACAATAGGCAATGTTTCAATATTTACTCCTGGTATCCTGTCCTGTTTTCAAATCCTGACACTTACTTGGAGAAAGAGCAGAAATTTGAGTACCTGTCTATATTATAAGTTACACAACGTAGGAGTTACGAAGTACATACCCACAAAGAGGAGCTCCTATATTGAATGTAGCAGTTCCTTCAAATTTTGCACTAACGTCTCTTGTCAATAGTTCTAGCCACTCAACACACGAGGCGCTGAAATCAGTTTGACTATTTTTTTTTTTAGATATGTACACCTCTCCTCCTTAATAAGTTCCATGGTGAAATTAAAATTCAAAATCATTTATTAAGTCTAGGCTGTTACCTGGACTTGAGAAAGTCAAAAAGCTACGCCATTTGTTCGCAAAACTACGGCTAGAAACCTTGTACTGAGAAGAACTAGCAAGCAACTTAACAAGGGCTGTTTTTTTTCTCCCTTTATTATTGTATACTAGCAAATCAGTGAACCAAATGTTCACCAATAAAAAAAATGTATTTAATTAATTGAGAACTTCGGAGATTTTGTGTGGTTTCGTTTGAAATTCGTGATTTCTCGAAAACCAGAAGTGCTACGTTACTCAAATCCGGTTTGTAGTCTTATCAGACTATTCTTAACTTATAACTTAAATATTCTCTATATCTATCTCTTACGGTTTGGCCGCTGAAACAGCACCACAGACAGACGGACGAACTTGTCTAATAGATAAGAGATGTTGTAGAGTCGTCAAGTTGAAAAATTACTTCAGAGATAATTCTGAAGTCACCTCCCATTTCAAAATTAAGAATATAGTAGGTATATAGGAAGCTTCTTCTCAGATACCACATTATTGTTGATATGCAATGATCTTTATTATATAGCCTGGTTATATGCCATCATTATTGCATTTTAAAATGGCACAAGTAGTCCATGTCTCAACTTCCCTTGGCAACAGCCGCCAATAGAGCCCACTAAAGTAGTCTCTTTCAGTCTCATGCATAAAACAGATTACATCTCGCTCTTTAACCTCCACATATCAACGGTGTCAGCAACTATCAAAATAAGAAATCACTAAATATTTTTACATTAATTTCTATAAAACTGTACTAACTAATGAAATGACACGTGTTTCTTGACTCTAATGTTTCTGTGTAATTTGTGTACTATCTTCAGATAGTGTGTGTGTGTGTGTGTGTTTCAACACACAGGGCTTTTTGTCTGGAAATACGTAAAATATTTACACGTTGTAGCAAAATATAGCCGAATGCAAGTCGGGCAATTACCTGACTTTCGTATTGCCAAATTAGAAGCATGTACGCCTTATTTTAACTATAAAACATCATAGTTGATGTGACTCTGATATTGTGTTTGTCAGGCTAAGATGGTGTGCACGTGCCAGCACCGCGAGGCGGGGACGGGGCCAGCGGGCCGCAAGCAGAGCCTGCAGCGAGCCCTCTCCCCGCCCCCGCCCGCGCCGCCCGCGCCCGCCCCGCCGCCGCCCAGTGAGTCCTCAATCTTTATCTAGTCTCACACACATCGTGATGAACTATGTCACGGTAATAATATCATACAGTATTCTATCTTCATACAAACGGTCGGAAAGCGAGTCATACCTACGCCACTCGAGTTCGATGGGCTCTCGGCGGGCACCCAGTCGCGAATGCGCCGCCGCGCCGCAACGACGACCGAACGGTGTGAATTGTTTTTTATGCAGTTAGTTAGCCGTGCTTAAACGTGCGATTTGTATTGTAAATATTTGATTTAATTAAGAAGATACCTACATAATTTAGTATGGCAAAGAACAAACGACGATCAATATCGTACAAAAGCACAATTGCTGTTTTTGGTTGCTTGAACTCTTCAATAACACACCCAGAGATATCATTTTTTAAATTACCTGAAATATTGGAAAGGTGTCCTACCTTTATAGAATATTTTTTATATACCTATCTACTAGTACGTAATTTGTTTCTAATATTTAGGTATTTCGGTTTTTCCATCGGGAAAAATATCTGGAATAATATATAAATAAGTGGTTAGGATGAAAAAAGAGACAAACGAGTAATCTACCTACACTCGCGTTAAAAACAAAACTACATAAAATACTGTAGGCGGGCGGCCCTACCGCGTGCTAACGCAGCGCTTGGCCGTAGGCATTTATTTTCAAGGACAGGGCGGAGTCACAATACTGTATATATAATATTACCGTGACTATGTTCTTGACCTACGACGAAGTGCATGGCCACATCATTATCAGTCTATCATCGTCATTAGCTTATTTAATCCCTACTGCTGTGGTACAGACTTTCCTTAGAGCAACACAATTCATACCATTCTGTAATTTTTGCAAGGGGGGAGGGGGTTTGCAGTATACCGTAACCCTGTCTCCGTATCCGCCACCCACACCATTTTTTTTTTAATATTTCCAACACTCACACCAATTAGCCTAGCCCCAAATAAAGCACTGTAAGGCTTGTGTTATGGGATACTAGAATAACGCATAGAATACATATACAGTACATATATAAGTATATCATATAGAAATATATAATAATATTATACATCCATGACTGGAGTATACAAATGTTCGTTTCATTTATCACACAAACATTTGCCCCACCGGGATTCGACCACGGAGGTCGTCAAATTTTATTTTATTTTATTACATATCAGCAGCCTATTAATGTTCCAACTGCTGGGGCACAGACCTTTCCTACCATAAAGCAACACGGATGGAAGTAGCCATAGCGACATAATACAATTCCAATCAAATTATCATAACTATAATTCACAATCATTGCACACAAATGCAGTTTAACGTAAATGCGCAAAAAACAAAACTGTAATCAGACAATCCAATTCAAAATTCAATATCGTTTATTCAGGCTAGGCTGTTACAAGCACTTGTGAATGTCGAAAAGCTACGCCATCGGTTCGCAAATCTACGGCGGGAGACCTTGTATTGAGAAGAACCGGCAAGAAACTCAGCAAGGGCTGTTTTTTTCTCCCTGTATTATATACAGAGTCGTCAATTTGAAAAATGACTTCAATATGAGATAACTCATGAAGTCACTTTCCATTACAAATGTAAATGATAAAACAATTATGACTATAAAATAAAAAATATAAAAACCAGATTTAAAAATGAAAAAAGTTTAGGAATGCCGCGTCCTATTGTTTAGGCATAAAAACAATGAACAATGAACCGTGAAATCCTTCACATATATATTAAATATCGTTTGTTAGCCCAATTCAACAGAGGGGAATGCCGTGTAGATCTCATCTCCTGCTGGCCGCGTCAGCCGTGTTTCTCTATGTTCCCTGGTGAAGCCGAATGCTGTAAAGGATATCTGGTGGGGTCGAAACCCCGGAGAGTGGACTGTAGGTGTTGGTTCCAAATATTAAGGGGGTTTGGTCTATGGGATAGGCACTGCCGGATTTAGGGGAGGGCAACCGGGGCGAAAGCTCCGGGGCCTCCACAAACGGGGGCCCCCACAATAGAGACTTCGGAAAAAAAATCGAAATCATCAACGATTTTTCGGCGAAAAAAGCTCGAAAGGTTCCGTTCGTTAACTCTAAGATTTAATTTCAGATAATTCTTGTTTCCGTTTATATTTATATGTGTTTGTTCAATACTAAGGGAATCTACTTGGTTCACAATAAATTATTTATTAAAAAACTCGACCGAAAAGAAATTGTTTACTTTATTTGGAAAATAATTTGGGGTGAGGGGGCCTCTGCTCCTCTGTTGCCCCGAGGCCTCTGGACCTCTAAATCCGGCCCTGGGAATAGGATGAGGACAAAATACTGTGCTTACTTACGGAGGGCCTCGACGGTGGCACTGGCTCATACGTCAGCTTCTCCTGCAGAGTCTGTTCCTGATGCTAGCGGTTCAAGATGGCGGTCAAGAAAGTCGTTGATAGCTATCACACACACACACAACCTCCTATTTTTGAGGAAATCTGTTTATTTAACAAAGATTGTTTATTAATCTTCACACACTTTATCGGAGTTTTATGCGGAAAAATAACACAGTTCTTGCGGAGCGATGATAAAATCGACCATTTCCTTCTTACGCGGTGACAGTAAACTTCTTTTGTTGATGCGGTGACAGCCTGCTGACAGAGCCATTTCCTTCCGGCCATCCGTCGTTGCAGGCAAATACATTGCGTCTTCTTCCCTTATAAGCATAAGGCACAGTGTTTGAAGGAGACGGATCTATTGGGATGCGGTTAATTCGAAAAGAGAATGACACGGTATGAAATTTAGAGATTAGAATATGTTTAGGCGTTACCGTTCGGCGTTCCCTATGAATGGAATAGTGAGTTTGAGACATGTCTCAATCACGCCTGCCCACTACGGATTGGTGGGTGCCAACGATTTCAAATGCATCCGGTATTAGCGGCTTAACGTGCCTTCTGAAACATAGAGGAGTTCGAGACAAATGTGGCATCATTAAGCGCATTCTACCGACTATACCACGGCGAGTGTTCTGAGGAGCTATTTTCCCTTATCCCTCCATCACCTTTTCTTCAGAGGACCACGCGCGCTGGCCTTCGTTGCCACCGACTTACTGTGGCCACTATTCCTACACGAACAAAGAAATTTGGCGACTCATTTCTTTGTCGTACTATTCGTAAGTGGAATTCTTTACCCGCGCACGTGTTCCCTATAATCTGGGGTCCTTTAAGAGAGGCGTGGAGAAGTATTTTTGCGAGCCGGCAAGGTGAGGATGGTTGGTGTAGCAGTTTATAACTGCTGTACCAGCTAACTTCGCGTTTGGACTTTATCACCACATAGCATCAGGTGGGGTAGAGTCATTTGCCTATCTAGTTATATATATATAAAAAAACAATAGTTTTTTTGTCACCTATTCAATGATCAGCTATTGAGAATTTACCTCCATGATCGCAAACCGAATACACTGACCACCTTCTCCATTGAGCACTTCCTTGTATATCCTTTATGTTATAGCGGCAAATATTTACTCAATATTTTGACATAGATAACTATTTAATCAAAAGTTTACAGTAATTCCAACCAACTTTGTGATTACTGCCAAAGCTACATTGCCTCATGTTCAATACGCTTAGTGTCCAAGCATGTCCGACTAAAATGTAGCCACTCAAGTGAAATTAACTATTAAATATGAAATGCTTTGACATGCAAGAGTATACCGACAGCAGAGCGACGCAACTTTATCTTCACCCGAATTGCCGAATACTTCACTATATTCCGTATACATTGAGGAGCTTGATGACGTAATAGCGCGTTCGGCTGCGATCGTTGAAGTAAAACAACTTTCGCAGTGGTCGGTCATTGGATGAGTGACCAAAAATTTACTATCTCGAGCTCCTCCGTGCTTCGGAAGGCACGTTAAGTGGTTGGTCCCGGCTGCATCTGCAGTCGTTAGCACCCACCAATCCGCACTGGGCCTGCGTGGTGCGTCATGGCCCAAACTCCCTATTCCATCCATAGGGAAGGCCTGTGCCCCAGCAGTGTGGACATTAATAGGCTGTCGATGATGATGATGATTCCGTAGATATAGTTTACCGCGATGTACTTGTATAGACTAGCGGCCCGCCCTCGCTTCGCTTCGGTGTAGAGCTGAAGTGTAGACTACAGTTTTTGTTCTCAGGCTTATATTATACACAATGACATTCATCTATGATTCTTCTTATACCTGCATGCAAAATCTCAGCCTGATCGGTTTAAAATTGACAAAGTTTCATACAAACTTTCATTCCCTATTTTATCCCCTTGGGGGTAGAATTGATCAAAATCTTTTCTTAGCGGATGCCTACGTCATAACATCTACCTGCATGCCAAATTGCAGCCCGATCCGTCCAGTGGTTTCGGCTGTGCATTGATAGATCACTATGTCAGTCAGTCACCTTTGAATTTTATATATATAGATAGATAGGTCCCAGTCATTATCAACGAAGTATATAATCCACGGCACTAAGATAAACAATTGTATATCCACAGTGATCCCCCCTCCACCAGCACCGTACGTTCCTCCCCCACCTCCCCCCACGGGCCCGCCGCCGCCCCCCTCCGGGCCGCCCCCGCCCCCCGCGCCGCCTCTACACAACCCTGCCCCCCCGCCGCCACCAGTAATAGACGTGAAGCTGCCCCAACAGGAGACACCGATACCGAAGACCAAAATGAAGACCATTAACTGGAACAAGATACCTAACAACAAAGTGAGTAGAATGATGTTATATTTGTTTCTTAGGTTTTCACGCACATTACTCTTTAAATAAAACTAGTTTTTACGGGTTAATGCACGAAACTTTATTAATTTATTGACGTTTCGCAGCCTTTTCAGGTCTGCATCGTCAGAATAATGATTTTTTATTTAAAATTGTCGAGCTACCTTCGAAAGACTTATATTGAGCGTTCGGTTATTTCATTGGAAGATTTTTAAAATTTTATTGTCTATGTATGAATTTATTATTTAATTTACTTAAAAAAGTATTTTATTTAAAATTCTTGTTTGTAATTTTGAGTTTATTTATTTGACCCTAACTACCGTAAACTACCACCGGTTCCAAAATTGGGAGACCTTCCTGAGAAGAACCGGCGAAACAAACTCAAGAGAGGCTTTCTATCTCCTTCTTATGTTAAATTATGCAAACAAAAAGAACTAATAGTATCTGATGGTCTTGCAGTGTGTGCTCGGGGTTGGGATTATATCTCCTGTATAATAGATTCCCAAGCTGGTGGTATATACCAACCATCTTCCCTATTGAAATTTGGATATTTTTTAATCTCAATAGCCTCGCGCATCATTCGAGGAACGAACCGCCGCTCAGCTGCAAGGATCTGTGGTCTATCAAATCTAATGTAGTGGTTTGGTCCCCCTAATGCATGCAAAAAATAAATAAAGTTTCGTGCATTAACCCGTAAACCGCCCTCGCCTCGTTTCGGTGTATAGGTATTCGAATTTTTCTCATCTTATAAACCTGCCCTAGACCCCCAGGAACATTTCAATACAAAGATAAGATAAATCCGTTCAGCCGTTCTCGAGTTTTAGCGAGACTAACGAACAGCAATTGATTTTTATTTATATAGATAACAAAGCAAGTGAAATGGTGCGTTATTTTAAATTTTATTTTATAAAGAAAGTGTGGAAACCTGGCATATTATGAACTGTCTGATCTTAAGCGGCTTCCGCTATAGCTTAAAGACACGCTAACAATACCAAAGGATACTCGCGCCATTATCTTACCATGAAGCCCTGAAACCTTACTCATCAACAGAAACACAACACACCAAAATTAGTGGAGCTCTTTCTTTATCACACAATCGCTAACCATACACAAGGATAGAAAACTGCTTGACACGAGAATAGAGGCCTGCCATTGGCCAGAGTTGCGACAGCAATACAATCCGTCCAATGACAGAAAAACTTAGCTTTCGTCGGTGCTCACTCGTTTCCGTAACTGTTATTGCATCGAACTAATGTATTGTTTTGCTACTAGGCCACTATTTAATGACTGTATTCATGCAGCTTCTACTTCTGTAAGGACCTCCACATACAAGGTTTAACATAATTATATCAAAATTTATTTCAGGTAATTGGACAGAATAATATCTGGTCACTGGTGGCATCAAGCCATAAGCACTCCCCAAAGGCAGATCTGGATTGGAGCGAAATAGAAGGACTCTTCTGTCAACAGGTACGATACTAGTTTTTGAACGACACCTGTTCATTTTAGAATTTTCTTTTGTTTAGCTAAGTGATGAAGATGTATCGAAACACTTCATTTTCATTCATCAAAACATCTCTCTATTTCTAAGAACTATTTGAACTGAATTAAGTTAAATTGATCGGACATGAATTATTGTCAATATTTTGGCGCAAATGGTTTTAATTGAAATAAAAACTCATGTAGGAGATATGTCTCGTATTTTTAAAAAACCGATTGGAAATCTAAAGATCATTTTACTAGAAATAATTTCACGCGGACCAGGCAGCAGATGGGACTCGAACCCGCACCCTATCCGGACTCTCGCTATCCGGACGAATGCACTGACCATTATGCTACCGCGGCCCTGATGGACGTGTCGAATTTCCTCTAGCCTTAAGCTGCAAGGCAGCGCCATCTCTTCGCATTGTAGGTAACCCACAATAATAAAACCTACTGGAAAGTTCGTGACTTTGCTGATAGGAACTACTGAACCGATTTTGAACATTCTTTCACCAATAGACTGTCTCTTCTTTGGACATAAATGAAACTCCGTAATGTGGTAAACGTTTGTATTTCGATACTTTAATATGTGAAATTACTTATTTAATGAAGTTAGCTCGTAGCCATTATTCGAGAACAATGTGAATGCCAAAATCCGAAGGTAGTGTAAAAAAAGGAAAAAGTTCCTATGAAATAAATCGCATCATTGGTCCATGGGACATTGCTGCTGTAGAAATGCAGGCGCAAACAAGACAGCTACCATTGGTCTTGAGTGACTTTAGGCCGTATACAGAAAGAAAGCCGAAAGCCGATCGGCGCCGATCAGCGCCGATCGGCGCTTATCGGCGCTTATTGGCGCTGATCCTTTTTCTATGGACCGGCGCCGATCGGCGCAGATCGGCGCTGATCGGCGCCTATCAGCGCCGATAAGCGCCGATAAGCGCCGACACGCGCTGGTCCGAATAATAAATAATTTGTATTTGAATTATTATCCTTAGATTAAATCAATCTAAGTTATAATCTTTTTATAAATCTAATAACTTTATCTTTTATTAACTAAGCGCTAAAATTATTTGTTTCGTACTTACCGAATGGTGACAACAAGTCTTTCTTCTGGAAGGATTGGTTGTTTATGCCAATTGCCCCAATTTTTCATCAAAAGGTTTTTCACTAAATCCAAAATGTAATAAAATGTTTCTTGAATCATTCTTGTATATGTATAAAATCTTTGTTCATCAATTTTTTTTTTTTTTACAAATAAATGATGGTATTCTCCGTAACGTTTCCTTTCTCTATTTATAGGATTTAGGCGCCGATAAGCGCCGATCGGCGCCGATCGACTTTCGGCTTTCTTTCTGTATACGGCCATAGGATATATTTTGTCGTTTTAAATTTAACATATTATGAAACTGTAACTTATTTCTAGACGTGAGGATGAGGACCTGTAATTGGCTCTTTATTGCTGTTAAATGCTGAAGTTATTCACTTGCACCCATTCTTTTCATTAGCTGAATTTGGAATAAAATATAATTTTATTTTATTTGTTTGTTAAGATAGACTGTTCCACTTCCATGTTATCAAAATAAATGAATATGAATTTCAGATCCAACCCACGGGCTCGGCTGGGTCCTCCCCCCGCTTGGGCCGAAGTCCTATCTGTGATAGTTCGGGCGAAAGGAAGCCCCGCAAGGAATCCTCTGAGATCACTCTGCTCGACGGCAAGAGGAGTCTCAATGTCAACATATTCTTGAAGCAGTTCCGAAGGTAAATGTTTACTATTTATCTGAACTCAAATTCATTGAGTACTTACCGATCGATTGTATTGACAATTTGTAGCTTCAGCTCTGGAATTGATCGAATTTTATTATAAATCAGAGTTTCATGTTTCTGCGCAACTTACGTTCATTTATATTGTTTTAAACTTTCATGGTCACTAACATTATAGCTATTAACGCGATTGTTACCATGTACCTTGTTTTTTATGAGTCTCCGATATTTCGGCACTGTTGCAAGCGCCATGATCACGGAGTAACTGAAGTAATTGCGGGTAGATATTATTGGCAGACATATCGGTCTACCCTCTAACGTCGTCTTTTACTGCGCTCGATACCCCTACCACTGATCACATTCTCACTATTCACTTGCACTTGTTCCCTATTCACAATACTCACATGATCGTGGCGCTTGCAACAATGCCGAAATATCGAAGACTCATAAAAAACAAGGTACATGGTAACAATCCCGTTAATAGCTATAATACTTTCATTTTCCGCAAGGATCTTCTTCTAAATCTTAGATAACTTAAAAAAGATGGATATACTCGTTTTCAAATTATGGCGTGATTCATTTCTAGGGTTTCGTAGGCCTGACAGGGAACCCTTATAATTTCGCCATGTCAGTCTGTCTGTCCTTCGGAGGTTTGCTTGGAGACTATTGGCACTAAGAGCTATAATCCCCTACATGTAACTTGGGGATGATTTTTTTAATCGTCAATTGTCGTGGGGTATCTTTGAATAGGTTTTTTAAAATTATGGGTAGCTAAGACGCTAAGACTAATTTTCGATTTTGAGATCCGTTTACGAAATATCAAACTTTAAAGTGTGAAATTTTTTGTTTGGGTAGGGCGTCCTCCCCTCTTTAAAAGCTAAACTATTGGCTTGAAGAATCAGGAAAAATTCATGATAATTGTAATTTTCATGAAATTTTGAAGAAAATATAGTACGCTGGGTCTCGAGATGACCCTGGTTCGAATCCCGGTGGGGGCAGATGTTTGTGTGATGAATCCGAGCACTTGTATTCCAGTCATGGATGTATATATGTATTTCTATATAAATATACTTATATATATGTATTAGTATATTTATTATGTCTGTTACCCTAATATCCCATAAACAAGCCTACAGTGCTATTTGGTGTGAGTGTTGGAAATATTTATTTATTTATTCCAGTTCCAACGAAGACATAATTCAACTGATCCGCGACGGCTCTCACGACGAGGTAGGCGCTGAGAAATTGCGAGGTCTATTGAAATTACTCCCTGAACACGATGAATGCGATATGCTGCGAGCCTTCAGCGGTGATAGAAGTAAACTGGCGAGAGCTGAGCGGTTTTTGTTGCAGCTCATACACCTGCCTGAGTAAGTATAACAATAAAATACAAGTGACCATTAATAATAGCGCATATAAAATGGCCGTATTTCACCAAATCGACATATCGCACCTTTATTCCAATATACTGTCATGAAACAAAATTCTTCAAAAAATAGTTTACAACGCCATCTATTTGCTACGTTATGAATCTACACATTACTTCAAATCCTGTATTTTAATTTTATTTTATGATAATGACAGTATTGGAACAAAGGTGCGATATAATATCACTGACATGAAATAAGGCCCAGAAGATATCGTCAGTATATCACACCAGGGGGCCGTTCGCCTAACGGGATTGCTATGGAAAACGCTATCGCTTACAATTTCATTTTGTTATTCCTGACCCCCGAAGGTTTTCAAATACCTCACGCTTTTTTTTTACCAATACAAAAGAAAAAAAAGAGCGCGAGGCATTTGAAAACCTCAAATGGCTAGAAATAACAAAATCAAATCGTAAGCGATAGCGTTTTCTTAAGCAATCCCGTTAGGCGAATGGTTCCTGAACTTATGCAACACATCCCTCACTAGTACAAATTACCAGCTTAAACTTATCAACGCAACTTGCCAGCACAAACCAGGATATCTGTTAAGCACAACTCAGCAATATATTCACTTGCACAACTCAATAGCTTAACTATCCAGTACGGGTCACGATAGCTTAGCAGCAAAACATACCAGCTAAATTTATTAGCACATTTCATTAGCGCATATCGTCAGCACGATTCTTCTCTAAATAAAACTAGTTTTTACGGGTTAATGCACGAAACTTTATTTATTTATTGACGTCTCGTAGCCTTTCCAGGCTACGTCGTCAGAATCAAACTTATATTTAATTTGTCGAGCTACCTTCGAAAGACTTTTATTGAGCGTTCGGTTATTCCATTGTTCGATTTTTAAGGTTTTATTGTCTATGTATGAATTTATTATTTAATTTACTTAATAAAGTATTTTATTTAAAATTCTTTTTTGTCATTTTGAGTTTATTTATTTGACCCTAAATACCGTAAACTACCACCGGTTCCAAAATTGGGAGACCTTTCTGAGAAGAACCGGCGAAACAAACTCAAGAGAGGCTTTCTATCTCCTTCTTATGTTAAATTATGCAAACAAAAAGAACTAATAGTATCTGTTGGTCTTGCAGTGTGTGCTCGGGGCCTAAGAACCTAAGAAACAAACACGATTCTCCTCTATTTCGCACTCTGTGGGACCCTGATACCTTACTAATCGACACAAACACAACACCAAAAGATAGTATCATTTCACTTTGATGATGAAAATAACATACATTTATAAATTACTTTAAAATAAATCAATCTTTACTGTTATTAGTAACTCATATTTTGTTTATCCAATAGCTATAAGCTCCGCATAGAGTGCATGCTGATGAAAGAAGAATGGTCTTCCACCGCCGGATACCTGGAGAGCGCCATCAACGCCATCCTCGTTGCCGGAGACGATCTGATGACCTCCAGGGCTTTGCAGGTATACGTTCATCATCATCAGCTTCTTAATGTTTAGATTTAATAAGGCAATTAGATACATCAGAGATATATGCATTGTAGAAGAGGGGGCCAAGGTGGGACCCCTGAGAAACTCCCGAAAGAACGAACTTTAATAATACTTTAACGGTAACTTCCCAGCACCACTACCTGAGGTCGATTGGACAAATAAGATATCACCAATCTCTATATTATATTTAAGAATTTATTAACGACTTAACTCAAACTACGTTATGTCATGGTCAAATAATTTCTTTTGCCGATGATACAGTCCTTACCTTTCCGCCAAGAGTTGGCATGAATCTGAAAATTTTGCTCAAATGGGACTAAACGCTGTAACTGGCTGGTTATCAAATCATTCACTGTCTCTTAACACGTCAAAAACAAAATGTATGTCATTTTACATTCAAAATAGCACGGAACCTACCATACCTCCCAATTTGATTGTCCAAATTGCCCTAACCCTAATCTGTGTAATGCCAACTGTCCTAGTATTAATCCAACTCCTACTATTAAATATCTCGGCGTTATACTAGATCAAAACCTTAGCATCTTAAGGACGTACATGCAATTAAAATCGACAATCGACGCATTGTAGCGCATCATGAGTAAAGTCCTTTGAATCTGGGTGTCTTTAATTAGCCACTATGAGTGTTTTATATTTATGTATAGGTTTAACTTTATATCTAAACAATATCCAGATATTTAAACCTGATAATAATGAATTGTAATAAGATAGATGGTAATTAATCTCAACCTTTCCATATGAGAAACCAAGCTTTGAGGCTTTGTAGTATCTCAGTAAAAGATCTCTTAACAAAAAGATTGCGGTCATCGGCTCATCGCCGAGTTTGCCTATGTTGAGATGATTGTAAACCTGAACGGATTAGGATGAAATTTGACATACAGATAGCCTATAACCTGGAAAAAGAGATATAGGGCATATAGATATACTTTGGGTTCCTGAGGGGTTAGTTTGAAATATCACATTAATTCTCTCTCTCTTCACGAGTCCGCAAATTACACCAATAAAAGCAAATACATAAATATTTATTTTAAAAAAACCTAAACATACATGCAAATAATACATTTAAACATATATGCACAGTATTATACATATATTATTAACACAGGTCATATAATATAAAATATTGATCATGAGACTGTGAAGAGAACTTGTTATAATACTAATATATTTTTCTTACAGGAAGTGCTATACATAGCTCTGATAGCGGGCAACTTCCTGAACGCGGGCGGGTACGCGGGCGGCGCCGCGGGCGTGAGACTAGCGTCGTTACAGAAGCTCAACGATATACGGGCCAACAAGCCCGGCATGAACCTCATGCACTACGTCGCCATGGTATATTATATTCCTTTAAATACTAGTATAGCCCGTAGCCGAATATGACCTTTCTTGTTATTCTGTCAATGGTTGCAATGGTTACACAAGCTCTTCGGTAAAAAAAAAACACGACAGAGCCGCCATCTTCTACAAACACACATACATGGAGCAGTTACACCTGCTTGAGCGGTTATCAAGGGCAACTTCAAACTGTTGACTCTGTCTGATCGAGAAATCTTTGTATGGCAGCTCTTAGCGACTCGAAATATGCCCATTTTATCTTGTAAAATTTTATAAAATTATATGTCAACGTTAAAAAAATAATTATATCTCAACTATGTAAATATGTCAACATTAAAAAATAAGTGTCTCTTGCACTTTCAATTCTCACATCACAGAACAAGTGCTCTGAAGATATTGGGCGAATTTTGGGTTTTAATTTTCCTAGTGTAAGAGCTTTCTATAAAAAATATAAGAAAAACCGAAAAAAACACTCCTAATCTAAATATAAACTCTTTCCAGCAAGCGGAACGAAAGAACAAAGAGCTTATCCACTTCGCTGATGACACTCGAGTGTTAGACGAAGCTGCTAAGGCGAGTGTGGAACAACTGTACAACGAAATCAAAACCCTGGCGCAGCGAGTCAACGTCTTGAAGAAGGAGACACAGCTGCCGACTACCCAGCAAGATATTAAACAGCAGATGGGAGACTTCCTACAGGTATAACAATTATAATTGTATCTTAAGATTCGACAAATTCTTTCATGATTCAGCAAGATATCGAGAATTAATTTAGGACTTCCTGCAGATACGTAACAAATTGAAGTAAGTTTTTTTTTCTAGTAAAACTTTTCTTTAGATTTAAACATCTACCAGTTAAATGCTTAAAAATAAATAAAAACATAAATTAAGTAAGTTTTAAATTAGAAAAATTAAACATCGACACATTGAACTACAAAACTGTTACTGATTGGACATACAGAAATGTGAAATGAGAGCAGTTTCATATAAATATGTATGTATACATCAGTTCTAATGTTTTATTAAAGTTTCAAAGGAAACTTAAACAATTTGTGTAAAGCTACATAATTTGATTATTTTGTAATCTTTTTGGATTGAAAGTTTCGAAAATGAAACAATATCACGTATAGTTTCAGAATTGTTTTAAAAGATGACACAAATAGTATTCTCTTCGTTTTTGTAGCAGCAATAACATGCAAGTCAAACAACATTTATAAACTGCTATTCGGATAGATAAAACAAAATTTCAAGTCTTACAACAAATAACTACTTTTGCTACTTAAATTTATTATATAAAAATACATCTATCAATGCAAAATTTTCTTTTTCTCGTACATTGGTGCCAATTCTGGCGTGATTCTCGAAACTTAAAACTAAATTTAACATCAGTCTCTCCTTTTCATTCTGTATAGAAAATGACAAGGATATACTGCTGTTAAATTTAAGTTTAGGTTTAGAGAATCATGCTAGAATTGACACCATTGTATGGTTTATTATTGGATGTCTTTTGCTGCAAGTTCTCATTGTATTTTTTTGCGTGTCCAGGTTGCTGAACAAGAAGTGGCAGCTCTGAATAAGGATATGGAAGAAGTAGAAAGTATGAGGAAACAATTAGCCGAGTTCTTCTGTGAAGATCCCGTCTCCTTCAAGTTGGAAGAGTGTTTTAAGGTACTTTTCTCGTCTTTTTTCTAGAGATATAAATTTTTGACTAGATAATTATAATGCAAATAAATGATACAATTTTTATTTTATTTAATTGTTAATAAATGGAAATACATTGTTGAAAGATGATGTACCAAATTTATGGACACCTTGAACAAAAATTTATTAATCCAATTACTGACCAATTTCTGATCTTTATATTGTTTTTAAGTTTGCTGAAAGAATTTTATATATTAAATTAGATATCATTTGAATCAGATTTTATTGCTACGTCGATTAGTTTATATTTCGTGAAGATTTGAGTACTTTTTTGGCGCTTAAGCAACAAAATTTTTTGTGGATTTTTTATTGTTCACAAAGCTAAAGCGACATAAATTTTGGCGATTTTGAACTAAAAGCGCTTTTGTCCTACTATTTGGTGTATGATTTGATGTTTGCTTGACAAAAAATCGCTTAAGCGACATCTTATTCGTGAAGACACTATGTAACTTTTTAATATGAGGATTTGTAGAAAATATTATTTTATGATTATGTTTTATTTATATAATAAATATAAAATATTACGCGCTACTTCTTACAATGAGTTATTATATTTTTTGTTAAAAAAATAACTTTGATTCTCGTTTCTGTAAAGTTACTAAATATTAGATTACGATTTTCCGCTGTCGAAATCTTGAGGCTCATGTCATATGTTTATCTGCAGACGTTCGCAATGTTTTGTGGCAAGTTCCGATCAGCGGTGTGTGAGAACGAGCGGCGGCGGGCGCTCGACGAGCAGGCGGCCGCTCGGCGCCGCGCTCGAGACAACCACAAGCAGCGGACAGGTGAGTGCTCTATGTATACAACCACAAGCAGCGGACAGGTGAGTGCTCTATGTATACAACCACAAGCAGCGGACAGGTGAGTGCTCTATGTATACAACCACAAGCAGCGGACAGGTGAGTGCTCTATGTATACAACCACAAGCAGCGGACAGGTGAGTGCTATATGTATACAACCACAAGCAGCGGACAGGTGAGTGCTATATGTATACAACCACAAGCAGCGGACAGGTGAGTGCTATATGTATACAACCACAAGCAGCGGACAGGTGAGTGCTATATGTATACAACCACAAGCAGCGGACAGGTGAGTGCTATATGTATACAACCACAAGCAGCGGACAGGTGAGTGCTATATGTATACAACCACAAGCAGCGGACAGGTGAGTGCTCTATGTGTACAACCACAAGCAGCGGACGAGTGAGTGCTTTATTTATAAAACGACTAGCCATACCCGCAACTTCGTCCGCTTAACTCTTAGAGTTAAAAATCTCTTAGGAACCTTTGATCTGAGATATATTTTAGTAAACCTAAACCAGCCCCCTAACATGAGATGGCTCGGTCGCTTTATCACACTCAATTGTCAGATTTGTATAGAGTTTGACAGTTAGACGTGATATAATGTATACATTGTCGTAGTCACTGGTCATGCTACGGGGACAAGAGACCTTCTCTATAATTATCTTAACGAAATTTCGACCGAAGCTTTGCACCTTTCGTATTCGTTTCTAATTTTAGTAATATTCGTTCGTCTGAAATGAAGTTAGTATAACCTCAAAATGACGAAATGAAATTTGGCTTGAACTTTGACACAAGAGCAGACAATTGGTCGCTTCGTTTCGTGATATGCTTCTAACATTTCATTGCAATTATTCTCATCGCTTGGTGTATCATTCTAATACCTTAATCACACGTACTGCATAAACAGGCAAGACAGTAGAATGTTTACGGCCGAGACAGTGATGGAAGATAAAATCTCATGTAAGAGCGCTCGGCGGAATACTCGGTCCTATGTTTATATGTTCGGCCGAGAGCACGTCTCGCCCGTTTGCTCGGTACGTGTGATCAAGGCATAAGCCGTCGCTAATAACAGCAAAGTCCTCGCATAATCGTTAGTAGCCCTTGTTTCAGCTACAACTTCCAACGTTTGTTTTAACTTTCATCCTAGATTATTATTAAATGTACACCAATCATACATTACCATTATCATGAACCAATATCGAATTCGAATAGTTAGCGAGTCCGAAATGTCATTTTCAAATGTGTACTGATTTTTAGTTCCCGTTACATACTTTGTGGCGTTGCTTTTCAAAAATTTGACATTGACGTTTCGCACTTGCAAACTATTCGAATTTGATAATAATTCGTGCTAGGGGTACTGTTCGTCAATTTAACACAATATCCATTACAAATATCTTGTATCGCTCAAAGAACTTGTAGGAAGGCCAAAGGGGAAGATCTTCCTCCGAGCTGGGTGATGGTAGCTCGGGGGCCGCGGCCCGACTGATGTTGGTTGGATCGTATATATGAAGAGTTAGCCTCCGAATTTAATTTGCGCGATGTAGGCTACCATACTATTATGATCGCAGTGCAGGTAACGCCATCTCTTGAGGATGGTGAGTAATGATTTCCTCCATTCGTTGTATAACTAAAGTGTCAAGTGTATTATCGAAGCACAAAGACCCTGACGATCTGGTGTTAAACTACAGGTGGCAGCGTCTGCAGTACTCCAGTGTCTGAATGCGAATCTCTAATGGAGTCATTACTGCTGGACATCAGGAACGGGCTCGGAAGACGATCGCTGCGTCGCCCCCATGACGCTTCACCATCACCAGGTAATCAACATCATTATCAGCATATTGATATTCATGAGAAGCTCGATGGCGCAAGTGATTAGCGCGTTCGACTACGATCGTTGAAGTTAAGCAACTTTCGCAGTGGTCGGTCATTGGATGGGTGACCAAAAACTATCTTGAGCTCCTCTGTGCTTCGGAAGGCACGTTAAGCCGTTGGTCCCAGTTACATCTGCAGTCGTTAGTACCCGCCAATCCGCACTGGGCGCGCGTGGTGGGTCATGGCCCAATTTCCCTATTCCATCCATAGGGAAGGCCTGTGCCCCAGTAGTGGGGACATTAATAGGCTGATGATGATTAATGTTCATTAATCTATAATGAAGTCATTATTGCTGGACATCAGTACCCTTAACACGCATCTCCAATATCGGAGTTGAATTTGTCAATTTCCTTAGCACAAACTGATATCGAATTCGGATAGTTGAATTCGATCTAGATACGCGTCATGTACCAAGAAGTTTTGTATGTAACTTTGAACAGCGCCACAATGGACGAAATGAGAATAAAAAATCTTCCATACAAAACTTCTTGACATTTGTGCGAGTATAAAGATTTATTTTTTGATAATTTAACTGACTAAATAGAATTTCGTTTAGTCAACCCCTTTCCAAGTCATCATCTTTATTATTGTAAGTCAATTTCAGTTAAGAATAGCTTTTCCCAACCATCCAACTGGTCCATCTGGTAATCGATTCAAGGACGGATCCAGGGGGGGGGGTCATGGGGTTCATGACCCCCCTGGGCTGGGTGCAGATGGACCAAACCCAGGGGGATTTTATTTAAGTACTTTCAATATTTAATATACCACGACTATATGACCCCCCCCTGGAGCCAAAGCTGGCTATATGACCCCCCTCTGGCGCCAAAGCTGGATCCGCCCTTGGGTCGATTAGTATCATTTTTTGTTGCCTTCGAAGGCAGACGGACGGACGGACCACCTGATGTTAAGTGGTAACCGTCACCCATGGACAACAACGCCAGTCATTGCCCTTTAAAGGCAGCGGATGGGCAACATAAGACTACAAATTCTGATGATATCTTTACGTTTTCAGACGTGACTCCTACGGGTAGTCTTCGTCGCCGCAGCCGTGCCAGCCCAGGCGGCGATGAAGAAGGCTTGCTGGAGTTCTTGCGGCATTCTTCACCAGCTGCCACTGACTTGAGGGAAAGAAGTGCTTGGGGAAGTCTTGGTGAGAGAATTAACACTTTAAAAAATACACTCTAGGCAGTTTGAGTTGACTGATCTACGAGAGTACTTGGAGCAGTCTCAGCAAGTGGCTTCAATAATACTCTCACGAACAGAGTTAGGGTTTTAAGAAGTCTTGCTAGAGTTCTTGCGGCATTGTTCACCAGCTGCCACTGACTTGAGGGAGAGAAGCGCTTGGGGTAGCCTTGGTGAGTGAATTAACACTTTAAAAAATACACTCTAGGCAGTTTGAGTTGACTGATCTACGAGAGTACTTGGAGCAGTCTCAGCGAGTGGCTACAATAATACACTAACGAACACACTGTAGGGTCTCAAGAAGGCTTGTTGCAGTTCGTGCGGCATTAAGAATAAGCATAAACATGACTAAAAGAAGATAAAAGAAGCATAAGCATGCTGTTCTTTTTTTTACATTATTGGCATTAATTATTGCCGTTTTAAATTTTGTCATGTAATATTTTAAGATATTCGTTATATAAATAAAATTGTTGACAAAGTTGTGTTAATCATATGATGAAAGTATAATGCGATTCAAATAAGAATAGGAAAGCCAATGACTTCTATCTGTCAAATGTCGCTTCAAAAATACGGTTTGCAAAAAAGACTTGGAACCCTTTTTTAGCACTCCGCTAATTCAAGTTCAATAAAAACCAAACATCTGTAAACAAACAATAACAAATATTGATAATTAATATCGGTTGATATTTTTAATTCACTTATTGAGCTTTGGTCATGAATGGTTGATAATCTAAATCGTCAACCAAATGTCACTTTAAGTTGCATTCAGAAACTCGATTTCAAACTTTCATTTACGTAAAGGATGCATGTTCGTATGTGACCTAGTAATAGTGCGTGATTATTCATAACTACTGCGACGGTAATGCAGAGAGATGAGCGGAATAGAAGAGCTAGATTCTGATTAATGTTTTTTCTCACAGTATTAATAAATAAATATTATTATAAATCGCTGGGTTTTTTTTTGTCTCAATCTTAGTAAATTAATGTTATTAAAAAAAATCTTATGCTTTTTCTCATTTAATCTAAGTAAATAAGTTTTATTAAATAAAATTTTTTTTGCTCACTCTACCTATTTGGTTTGAACTGACAGCTATGACATCACAATATGGCGCCCAGTCGGTCATATTCTTAGTTGAATCGCATTATATATGATACGGTACTTTTCTCTGTATAGATCGGTCGTGGTCCCGTCGCGGCGCGGCCCGCGCCCGCCTCGAGATCCCCGAGCGGGAGCGGGAGAGGGCCCCCTCCCCCCGCGCGCACCCCTCGCCCTCACCCTCGCCCTCCCCGACCCCCTCCCCCTCCCCGGGGCCGGCGCTGGCGTCCTCTACTACCACTTCTACCGCCACACCGCCGCCGGAACCACCGCAGAAACCCAAGTACGTATCAATCATAGACATGATATATACAGGGTGTTACAGAATTCCGAAATAAAATTTGTAGGTATGTATTCCGAAATAAAAATTTGTAGGTATCTGAGCGGGGCGCAGGGGCGTCTGGGGGAGAGAGGGGGGTCTGTTTAGGTAGTAGTAATCGTACGCATTTATAGGGTTGTCATAGGCAGGTGTAAAACAATATTTTTATTAATTTAATTAGAAAATAAAAGTGGTCTGAAAGGCGTCAAACTTTCGTAGGTAATTCTATACAAGGAACACAACCAAACCCTAAAGTTTTATTTCGGACTTTTGTCACACCCTGTATACAGAGTGTAAAAAAACCTTTAGCGAAGTCAAAGGCCACGTATTCTTCACATCATGACGATCATTTTTTTCTTCTGGACCATACCTGGGAAATTTATGGTTATGGAGATATTGAAGGTCAAAGTAAAATTTTTTTTTTTCAAGATTTATACAATTTTATTTTGAAAACGTTATTTAGAAACTTTTTTAATCGACGCACACACATACACACAGGCACATTCTTTGCGTAGCGCCACAGTATCGCGGCGCGCTATACATTGCGTACTGAAAAAAAAAAAATTACTTAAAAATACAAATTTTTCCTACGTATAATATTTTGTAATATTACTTGTTTGGGTGTACAGAATGCGTAATTTTAGTCTTTGCCATAGGTTTTTTTACATCCTGTATGCCGATCACTTAGTTTTAGCAAAAATATTCTTTAGGAACATACGAATTCAACATAGGCTTATGATAAAGTTTAGATTGCCGATTAGATTAATGCTAATCTGAAAGTATCCCCTCGTCGGTAACACTCAGTCTTAAGCTCACATAGAGTGAAATAATTACGCTATGCCTTATAGCTCGTAAAATAAAAAAAAATAGTCCAAAAATTAATAAATTCGTAACCTAACTTTCTGTGGGTTACCTACAATGCGAAGAGATGGCGCTGCCTTGCAGCTTAAGGCTAGGAAAATTTCGACGCGGCTAATAGGGCCGTGGTAGCATAATGGTCAGTGCATTCGCCCGGAAAGCGAAGGATGCGGGTTCGAGTCCCATCCGCTGCCTGGTCCGCGTGGATTTTTTTTCTAGTAAACTTTTCTTTAGATTTAAACACCTAGCAGTTAAATGCTTAAAAAAAATTATAACTTTCTGTTGTTCTGATCTGTTGAATGCTTTACTGTTGTAGAGAATGGAGGCAGAAGATCGAATGCTGGCTGCGAGCGAACAGCCAGGAGGAAAAACGAGATGCAGAACTACGAGAGCGAGCGAGACGGCTGCAGGCCAACCGGCGCTCCTTGGAAAACGACTCCGGTATGTATCAGCATCATCAAAGGCTTATTAAACTACTAAATTTTAAGGTACCCTTACTAAAGGTGGTGTAACTCCAAAAGGTTCTTGGTTCATTTGTGGGTCAAGGCATATGTGACTATAATAAAATACCAAAAGAAATAATTAATTTACCTTTCAATAAGTTTAAAGTGTCTATAAAAACAGGTCTCCTTAAGAAGGGTTACTATACTGTTAAGGATTTCATAAATGATAAGTCACCTTGGACTTAATATAACAGACTAAGTCGTTTTACTTTGCTTTGAAAATAGTTTAATCGCCACTTCTAAATTTAAAAGTAGTACCTAGCTATACTTAACTTTTGTTAATTAATAATATTAATGTGATGGAAGTTGACATCAACACATGTTTTCAATTTTTGATGTCATCTTTCAATTGACGACACTGTTTGAAACAAAACAGGGAGAAAAAAATAGCCCTTGCCGAGTTTCTTGCCGGTTCTTCTCAGTACAAGGTCTCCCGCCGTAGATTTACGAACCGATGGCGTAGCGTTTGACTTTCACAAGAGCTTGTAACAGCCTAGACTGAATAAATGAGTTTGAGTTGAGTTGAGTAATAAGAGTAAGAGACCAGATCTAAGGCGATCGACGTGTCACGATCTCCTTACGCCCTAAAAATTGGGTAGCTGTTAGGCAGTAAGGGAACTTAGTCGACGCCCCGAGGGCGTAAAGAATGGACGTTTTTGTATTCGAATTAGTTAAATGGCGCGATGGGATCTAATGAAGAGAAAGAAGTGTTACTTTATTGCATCAAATAAATCAAAAAGATTCTCAAAAAAAAGTACAATTAAGTAGTAACTTAATATAAACTTTATGTTTCCAATTGTATATATTTAAATGAGAAAGATAAAATAGGATAAAAATAAGTTACACTTCTGTCGTTAGTCTCGAGACGCACACCCGTTTTTGTATTGTGGGGTGCTTACATAAAGAAACAGGTTACCGGTACAGACAAATCTGTACGGGTCGGTACCGACCGGTGCAGGTATAATATTTATATGTTTACTTATGCGCTCACTTATAAAGAAACAGGTTTGAAATTGTTCGTGCCGACAACTTGGACCGAGCCAAACTTTCATTCTTTGTGTTCATCAAACTTTATGTCTTTTTCAAATAAATGATAATATGATCCATATTGTTTTCTTCTACTGTTAATATAAGAGATACTGAGTGTTCTTTTCTTTCTACATTTTAAATACACATTTTCCAGAAGGAAAAAATCGTCGTCCGATGAAGTGGAGCCCATGGTTGTCAATAAGGACAGATTTACCTGTTTCTTTATGCAAGTTGACCCTGCACCGGTCGGTACCGACCTGCACTGATTTGTCTGTGCCGGAAACCTGTTTCTTTATGTAAGCACCCTTAATCGGGTAGGACAAGTTCGGTCAGGTTCGCTGGTTATTTTACACCTTAGATTAAAACAAAAAGGGTAGATACGGTACGCTCATACTTGCATCAAACAAAAACTGATCCCACGGCAGCGCGAACGGGACGGCGAGATCCGCGTCACTGCATTACCGACCCGAACGAAACAGCACGTTAAGTTTCAACGGCAGCGCGAACGAGACGGCGAGATCCGCGTCACTGCACTACCGACCAATCACGCGACCAGTACTCGACGTCACTACCGAATAAGATTCAAAACAAACAGCATTTTTTATGAAAAAATATATTTTATAGTACTTACGAATGAAAAGTGATGCCGTGGGTTTTATTTTTAGTTCTTCGTAGCAATTTGAGCACTTTTCCAAAACACACTTAGGCATTCTTTTATCATATAAACACAAAATATTAGCAATATTTCCTTTTGGCGTTCACATGTACGTCGTTTGCATGTCAAGTTGTGACTAAAGCGATTAGGGTCGTGGACCACAAATCATGCGGATCACTTTTGTGAGGCTAGTGCCGTATCTACCCTTTTTGTTTTAATCTAAGTGTTCTCCATTGTATTTATTTAAGTAAGAAATATAAAATAGAATAAAAAAAAGGTTACACTTGTGTCGTTCGTCTCGAGACGCACACCCGTTTTTGTATTTTAATCGGGTAGGCCAAGCTCTGTCAGGTTCGCTGGTTACTTTATACACGTGTTTTGGTCCAGAGAGCGATCGAAGCACGGCGCTGGAGCCTCTGCCGGAGACGCGCGCGGAGTGGCGCCCCGCCGTGCTGCCCGACAGCGACGTCGTGCGCGCCATCGAGGCCGTCGAAGGTAATACAATAAATTAATATCCAAAGAAAATTTTAATTTAAAAAAAATCATGCGTACCATACAGCATACGAGACTCGAACCACCCTCCGCTATCCGGGCTTATGCAATGACCGTTGTGAATTTTCTTTTGGTTCGAACATACAACAAGTAGGTAAATGCTTAAAAAATCAGAATATAAATTAATATTTTTAACACTCACACCAATTAACCTATTCCTAAGCACGGTGTCGCTTGGGAAAGCCAAAGGGTCTCTTTCTCTGTTGATCTTCCACGGAGCTGATTGATGGGAGCTCAGGAGATCAGCCTAACCGATGTTGGTAGGGCATGGCATATATGAAGAGTGAGCCTCCAAATTTCTCTTGCGCGATGTAGGCTACCATACTTATGAATGCAGCGCCGATAGACCCATCTACTGTTATGGAGCATCAAGTCTTGCCTCCTTAATTATGATTGGGGCGTATACAGGCTGTTACAAAAATACAAATAAATCTTGAAGGGCGTTGAAGTACATCATATAAGGAATCTTCTCTAATTTTCTTTATTACAGCAGATTTATTACTACTCCTGGTAAGGTGCATGGCCCCGAACTAGTGACGTGTCATAAAATGATCGATATTTTTGTTAATCATTAAAAATAACTGTTTTTATAAAAAGTTCAAACTTCTTGCAAATATTTTAAGAAAATTAGAAAACACTCCTTATATGATGTTCTTCAACGCCCTTCTAGCTTTATTTGTATTTTTGTAACACTCTGTATATGTCGCCGCCACAACTGTAAGGCTTGTGTTGGGATACTAAAGTAACAGATACAATACATACACCTCATTACACACATTTCCTTAACTACGCCTATAGGTTAGGTTGCACTACATTAAAGCTACGTTTCCACAGAAGTGGAGCTGAGCTGTCTTCAGGAAATTGGTCAATAGCATTGCTCAAAATATATTCATCGTGTGTATTTTTTGAGCAATATCAATAATCAATATCTTTATTACTCTGCTTACATCTAAAGAAAATATAACTAAAAAAAAATCCACGAAACCAGGCAGCAGACGGGACTCGAACACGCACCTTTCGCTATCCGGGTGAATGCACTGACCAATTATGCTACCGTGGCCCTGAATTATTTAAATATATATAACTATAATTGCTATTTCTTCTTTCAAATGTTTAGTACTTGTAAAAGTATTCATTTGACATTGTGGGTTACCTACAATGCGAAGAAATGGCGCTGACTTGCAGCCTAAGAATGGCTAGAAGAATTTCGACGCGGCCGTCAGGGTCGTGGTAGCATAATCATCATCATCAGGTCATTGCATTCGCCCGGATAGCTAAGGGTGCGGGTTCGAGTGCCGTCTGCTGCCTGGTTCGCGTGCATTTTTTTCTAGTTATATTTTCTTTAGATTTAAACATCAAGCAGTTACATGCATAAATAAAAAAAAAATACTCTGCTTACGGTGTCATTACCGAATGACACCATTGACCAACAAAAACCAATGATCGATATTCCCCCTTTCTTGATCAATAAAAATAGAGTTGGTAATTGTTCACTAAGCATGATTGCATGGTATACATCTACAGCTCGGTGTTATGACACTCAGCAACCGGCCACCCAATCTTATTTTGACTGTACACAGAAAATAATGTCGATCACTGGCTGGCTGGTCACTACTTTATTCCGCGGAGCTCCACTTCTGTGAAAACTCAGCCTTAATACACCACTAAACTACACTACACTACACCAGTATGCTACACTAGAGTAGTTATCTTCACTTCACTACACTACGCTACACTACAAGATAGAGTGAAATGAGCAATCGCTTTAGGCATCAAACAATTTACACCAAAAGTATAATTTTTAAATTATATATCTATTCAATGACATAACCGCATACAGTTAACAAATACGTCGGCGAAATAGCGTCAATATCGCTTTACCCTGAGTATCAGCTAAGGCTGTAACTGCATTCACTTCCGCTGTAAAGAAGTAGTGCCATCAACACTATTCACAAAACTTATACTATATTCTTGCAATCAGAATACTACTAAAAATCTTACTCCTAATTAATGAACGAGGAATAAAGCTAAGGCTAGTTTTTGTTTATATCACTCAAACGCCATTTGCCATTCAATGAATAGAACATGGAGTAACTAATCCAAGCTAAGTCTTCGTTTATTAATAACGGGGTTAAGGTTTTTAGTTTCCGAATCTAAAATAGTTAATTTAATTACTGAACTTTCAGATGTTCAACCTCAAACAAAAGACAGCAGAGTGCCGTGGAGAAAGACCGAAGAGAACGAAGAGATGAGACGCCTGAGGAGACAACGATCCCGACAGCATATAGAGCCACCCCAACCACTGGTCTCCATCTCCGAAGAGGAGAAACGAAAACTGCCCGACATACAAGTCACCAGCGAAAGAGAAACCAGAGTGGATAGAACCGATCGGGAAATCGACGCGGACAACATAGAAACGCCACCAGTTCAAAGGAAGGTGTTCAACCCACCACCGGAACGGGAGCCGTGCAGAAAGTTCCACCAACCCTCCATGTCCAAATACAATTCAAACGATAAAGCTACCACAGAAATGAAGGACTTGTGCCAAGAAATATTGGGAGACGGACAGTTCGATAGGTTCTCCGCCGCGAGAAGAACGAGGAGATACAAAAGGAACACAGACTCCAGTTCGCCTGAAGACGAGAAGAAACCGGAACCTACCACGGAACTGCTGGCGGAAACGCAGGTTATCCGACCATCCAAACTAGAAGTCCAAGCCTCATATGCCGTCGAAACACCGAAAGAAGTTGCGAAACCTATAGACGAAGTTGTCAAAGACGAAAAAGAGAGCAGGCTCAAACGCTGGCAGGATCGACTCAAAAGCCAAAGCACAACCACAACCCCAACCAAAGATACGCGAGCCTCGTACGCGAGGATGAGACGGAGGACTTCCATAAACCAAGAGGACGTGCAGAAAGCCATCAGAGAGCTCAAGTCCCCAACAGAACCTCCCACCGGGGTGTGGTCTAGGAACGCCTATAGAAAATCCATGACTTCTAAGCCTGAAAAACAATCGACGGAGAGAACCACGTCACCTCGAATGTCAAAAATAAAGAACGAACACGAATTAAACGACGAGGGTTTCGAAGAAACTCAGAGTTTGAACTCGGAGAGCGCGTCGCAAGGCGCCTCTTCCGGTTGCAACGTGGAATGCGATTCCCCCATTCCGAAAACCACGAAATCCCCTGACATCCCAAAGAGAATACCGACCAAAGACACCAGAACACCTCCTAGGACACCTTTAGACCCAAAACGAACTGCGGTTCCAAAGAGAACTAATTCTTTGAGAGTTGAAAGGTCTACATCGAGGGCGTCGCTTCGTAGCTCCAGAAGTTCTTTGAACAGTTCTGCATCAGTAGCGACCGTCAAAAGAGCTCCAGCTCCAGTCAAACCTGTAATTAAACCTACTCCAAAGCCTGTGTCCAGAATGCCAGCTTCGAGGTCTTCTTCATCAGGCAGTTCCATTGGGACAACAAGACCGCCCATCAAAAGCGTCCCGAGAACATCAGGGTTCATGAGACCCACACAAGCTTCAAAGGGCAGGGGTGGTTTAAACCCACAACAGGTCATCAGAGCCAGTGTGAAGTAAACCAAACGAGATGTTTCAGGGTTAGGTTTAAGTATCAACAGTGCCTTTTTGTTATTGTGGCCTTTTAACAACCGATTTTCGAAAGCAGTAAGAAGAAAAACCTGCACTTTTAAATTCTAAGTGAAGTACAGTTTTTAACGAATCAATTTAAACTATATTGGAGCGAAATTTTCGGAAAGTTCGGCGTTCTGTAATCATAAATAACGAAGTGAATGGTTTGTTACTTTTATCGTGTGAAACGAGTAACACTATGTTTTTGTAATAGCGTTGTCTCTTTCTTTTGTTTGAAAGTAACAGCAGAACACGACACTGGGAGAAAAAGAAAAACATACAAAAAAAACTAATATTAACCCAGAAAAAAAATTATTGAAATCTTCAGATGTTTCATAGGCGCTAGAATCTCATTCAAATCTGAAGCTTTCAATGACTGATTAAAGTAATTTAAATTAATAATTAAGTTTAAAATTATACTCTTAATTTGCAGTAGATCTGTAACGAAACAAGAAAAAAAAAACCTCGAACCCGTACGTAAATAAATAAATAAAAAATCAATTACTTTTCAAAAAGTACGAATTATATTTTTTATATATTATTATTAAGTGCCACGAATTGAGTACGGGTATATTGAAAATGTATTTTTGTAAGGTGCAGAAATCTAGTTCTGAATAATCATTTCATGAACATAAGTTCTCTAAGAAACCAGTATCAAAGTCATTACTATATTAAAATTATATATTTATGTCATAAGATACTCGTTATATAAGTATTAAATAATTAAGCTTATTTTATATGTTATCACTTGGACATAGAATATGATCTGATTTTATACGTATAATTTATATTTCCCTTAAAGATCTTGATCAATGAAATGATAAATACTTACTATAGTCACAAAGTACGCAGAGTTACACTCTTTAATCTAATAAAAAAAAAACATTATTTTAAGCTCTTAACACCAATGTTTTAATGTATGTGTCTAAAACGAAATACAACAAAATTATATTCAAATGAATTATTGCAGTTTCATTTAATATCTTTTTTCATAATCATATTTTATTATCTTCTATACTTATAATAAATCTGTAGAGAGGTCAATTCTGTACATGAAATATATTTTCAAAATAACTATCAGGGGGTGATTAGTGATCGATACTGATGCCAAAAATGCAATCAGTATTTTTGTCTGTCTGTCTGTCTGTGTGTATGTTCCTTATAGAAACAAAAACTACTCGACGGATTTAAACGAAACTTGGTACAATTATTCTTCATACTCCTGGGCAGGTTATAGTATACTTTTCATCACGCTACAATCAATAGGAGCAGAGTAGTGAAGGAAAATGTTGGGAAAACGGGAGAAGTTACTCCATTTTTTAAGCTTCAGTCGCGTGTGCAGCCTTAATGGTTAAAGTTACATAGAAATCATGTCATCATCATCATCATCATCAGCCTATTAATGTCCCCACTGCTGGGGCACAGGCCTTCCCTATGGATGGAATAGGGAGATTGGGCCATGACCCACCACGCGGGCCCAGTGCGGATTGGTGGGTACTAACGACTGCAAATGCAGCCGGGACCAACGGCTTAACGTGCCTTCCGAAGCACGGAGGAGCTCGAGATAGTAAATTTTTGGTCACCCATCCAATGACCGACCACTGCGAAAGTTGCTTAACTTCAACGATCGCAGCCGAATGCGCTAGCCACCTGCGCCATCGAGCTCCTCTATGCTATAGAAATCATGTATGACGGAAATATTCTACATAAAATTGTCTAAAAAATATCCTGCAACAGCATATGTCTATCTTTTATGGTTGATTCACAATAACACGTGTAATTATATAAATAAAGTCATTCTTTATAGCACAAGCCTGAGAACAAAAACTATAGTTTACACTACAGCTCTACACCGAAGCGAAGCGAGGGCGGGCCACTAGTTGTGCATAAAAGGGAAACAAAATTATGGCGCGATTATACATGGTCGTTAGCCCGAATACGAGTGCCAATGGAATTTGGGTAAACGACTAAGTGTAGAGGAGCTCGATGGCGCAAGTGGTTAGTTAAGTTAAGCAACTTTCGCAGTGGTCGGTCATTGGATGGGTGACCAAAAATTTACTATCTCGAGCTCCTCCGTGCTTCGGAAGGCACGTTAAGCCGTTGGTCCCGGCTGCATTTGCAGTCGTTAGTACCCACCAATCCGCACTGGGCCCGCGTGGTGGGTCATGGCCCTATCTCCCTATTCCATCCATAGGGAATGCCTGTGCCCCAGCAGTGGGGACATTAATAGGCTGATGATGATGATGATGGCTAAGTGTAAATGAACGGAGTCACAAATTCGAGTAATGTCTTTCGTGCACCCGTTTTCGGGCTAGCGACCAAATGTAATTCCCCCATTACTAGCAGTGAATATCTAAAAAAAAATCTGTAAAAAAAGCCGGAACTCATTAAAATTAAACACATTATATTTATTCTAATTGTCTGTATTATTCTACTTTATATACATACAATTATAGTAATTTATTTTAATATAAAACTACAATTTCCTAAATGCAACGAAATTCGCGTTTATCTAAACTTTATAAATAATAAATACTTAACATAATTTTATTTTAAGAATAAAAATACATAATAGTGTTGTGTTCACCTTTCAAATATTCCTATAGGAATTGCAGTTTCTGAGGTTAATATTTTTGTATCTTCATTCGTTGGAATAACTGAAGCCAAAATATCTTATTAAAAGATATTTTCACACTAAAAACTATTTTTTTATTTCAATATAAATGAAAACATATGACACAAAAAATGACCAGGTAGGTAATTATAATATTTTAAACAAGCACTATTTACTGCTTTAAATTAAGGAACAAAAGAAACTTGGAATTGTCGTCTAAAACTCGTTATATGTGCTTTATTTCTTAGATTAAATTCTTATAGCTTCAAAGTCTTAGATAAAATAAAAATTCATTTTTGATTTCATCTAAGGCTTAATTCTCATCAAATAGTGCAACTAATATAATTTACGCGCACTTAGAAATGTCAATTGAATTTAATACATCGTTAAGTAACATGGTAACGTTGTTTGACGACCTCCGTGACCGAGTGGTTTACACGCCGGGTTTCATGGCGTCGCCGACTCGAGAGGTCCCGGGTTCGAATCCCGGGGGGGCAGATGTCTATGTGATGAACACTAGCATTTGTACTCCAGTCATGGATGTTTAAATATGTATTTCTATATAAATATACTTATATATGTATAGTATATGTCATTGTATTCTATCCGTTACCCTAGTATCCCATAACACAAGCCTTATAGTGCTTACTTTGGGGCTAGGCTAATTGGTGTGAGTGTTGGAAATATTTATTTATTTAAATTTATAAAAGTTATTTTTTATAATTCTCGTAAACCTTCACATTATCAACGTTAATCAAACTTAAATGCTAATTGACGTCTCTGATTGTGCCCGTAAATCGTAATACGTCTATAATAATCCAGCGTCAACCAATTCGACGACTAAATCTGTCATTTTTCTTCTGCACGCCTCGTTTGATGTCCACACCGGTTTCGTGCACTCATGCGCAGGGGAGTCACTTTCCTAAAACATTAAAAAGAAATTTAATAAAAAAATAATGTGAAAACCATTTTAGTGCCGAAACGGTAGAAACGAAATCAACAAGGACATAATCATCATCATCATCACCAGCCTATTAATGTAGCCTATTAATCATTATGCCTACATAAAAATAAAATAAATAAAAATTTCGACCTTGTTTGTAAAAACGCGAAAATATTCCCCACTGAGATCAATCAATTAATGGCTGGCAATCCAATTTCAAATTCAATTGAAGATCGTGGAATCTTACAACTTCGAAAATTACATATCTATTAACGGGATTGTTGCCATGTATAAAGCGATTCAACTAAGAATAGGACCGACTGGACGCCGTATTCTGATGTCATAGCTGTCAATTCAAACCAAATAGGTAGAGTGAGCAAAAAAAAGTTTATATATGTATATTAAAACTTATTTACTAAGATTAAGTGAGAAAAAGCATCAGATTTTTTTAATAACATTTATTTACTAAGATTGAGAAAAAAAAACCACCGATTTTTAATAATATTTATTTATTAAGACTGTGAGAAAAAATATTAATTAGAATCTAGTTCTTCTATTGCGCTCATCTCTGCATTACCGCCGGAGTAGTTATGAATAATCATGCACTATTACTAGGTCACATACGAACTTGCATCCTTTATTGTAAACGAATGTTTGAAATCGAGTTTCTGAACGCAACTTAAAGTGACATTTGGTTGACAATTTAGGTTATCAACCATTCATGGCCAAAGCTCAATAAGTGAAAAAAAAAATATCAACCGATATTAATTATCAATATGTGTTGTTTGTTTACAGATGTTTGGTTTTTATTCTTCAATTAGCGGAGTGCTAAAAAAGGGTTCCAAGTTTTTTTGCAAACCGTACTTTTCAAGCGACATTTGACAGATAGAGGTCATTGGCTTTCCTATTCTTATTTAAATCGCATTATACCTTGTTATTTAAGAGTCTCCGATACTTCGACACTGTCGCAAGCGCCATGATCACGGAGTAACTGAAGTAATTACGGGCAGATATTATTGTTATTGTTGAAGCATGATTAAATCTGCGAACAGCGTTCCCTAGCCTACTGCAGGAACGCCAAAGGGGAAGATCTTCCTCCGAGCTGGGTAACGGTAGCTTGGATACCGCTTCCCGACTGTTTTTTTTTATTGAGTGTGTATGCTGTTGGTCGCAGATGACCTTTACAGCGTCACCGGCTTTGGGGACGGCGAGATCCTAAGGGGACCTCAAGCCGAGAATTAGCGAGTGCCTCTGGAGGTATTTCAGGTGGATGGCGTCTCCCCACGGGGGGAGTCTCTTCTCCGTCTGGAGCCTCTAGACCACTCGAACCTGAGGGGGTCGGCTCAACTAGAGGGCGTGTCTGAGACTCGGGCCTCGGCTCTAGTTAGCCGTTGTCGTGGGGGGCGGGGAAAAACGCCCACGTACGTACCTGTACCTGGTATAGCGAGTCGTGTGTAGACCAAGTCTTCGCACTCTTATCCTACGGGTGCCGTGTCTGCCTAATGCTAAGCTAGTGTGCACGTTTGCTAGCTGTGTAGTGTTGGTGTTTGTGGCCTGAGTGGGAGAAATCGGAGGCGCCCGACTGATGTTGGTCGGGCATCGTATATATCCTGCTAGCCTCAAAAAAAAAAAAAAAAAAAGCACTTATTAAAAAAGCTTATTACAAAGTGTCTGATTATATTACAGACAAAAATGCTTGGGTTTGAACTGTTCCAATCATTTCAACAGGTTTTCTATAGTAAATAAATCATGATTGTATTGACGTTGTAACAACATAATGATTTGTAAATGTTGTTACATTATGCTTTTAATGTTGTGGAGTTTTTTTCGCTCGTTTTTCTCCGCAGCTAAAAAATATGTCCAATAACGAGTGGTAGGGAAAAAAAAAATGTTTGGACGATTCAAAAGTGTTGTACTATACATCCAATTTGAATAAAGATATATTGATTTCTGATTTCTGATTTCCTCCGAATTTCACTAACGCGATTTAGGCTTCCACACGTTCTGAACGCTGCGCCGGTAGCGCCAGCTCTTGAGGAGGCGAGTGACTATTTCCTCCATGTTAATTATATGTGGGGCATGTAGATGTCGCTGCCACACTACAATTATTACCTTAGTTTCATAGAGGTTGGGAGCCTCGTTGCTGTCGCACATCATGATCGGGTACATATCCAGAGCTATGCCGAGGGCGAAGCGGCTGCATCTCTTCAACTCCTCCTGCAACCTGGAATCAAGAAGTATAAGCATTTCTCGCTCAAACTATTAATAAATTAGTCGTTTAGAAAGGTAGGGCATAACGAGTTTCTCGCTCGAATTGGATCGCCCGTAGGAAACAACCACCACAGTCAAAATAACACCACCTTTTGCAAGTGTTGTATTCTGTCCAGTGGCGGCGCTAGGCGTCGGCGACGTCGGCCACCGCCGACGGCCTCGCGCCTGAGGGGGCCTTGCAAAAAATTTTTACAAGTTAGGGTAAACCTGTCAGTTATTGGCCACTTAAGTCCCTTGGCCATTTTAGAGCTTCACAAATTCTTTGTTCAACAAAATATTTTGACAAAATAGGCCTTTAATTGATCAGTGAATCCTTCTTTTTGGTTTTAGGTCTACATAAAGTATAAATATGCTCATTTAGAATATTTTTTTTTATTAAGAAAAAAAACATACGCATATTGGTAGTTATTGGCAGTTATTGGCCATGAAAATCAGTAACTGGCCATATGTATGCTGGTTACTGGCCACAGAAAACAATTCAGCATTAGACATCTTAATAGTTTATAAAATTAGTAAAATACAACATTATCTAAACCTATACTAAATCAGTCACAAAACAATCTAATATTCCTTTTTTGGAAAAGTTATATTTTAAACTTTCAGGACTAAAATCTAGGAACCATACTTTTATTGTAAAAACAAAACATAAAATCAAAAATAAAATTAACAATAAATCATTGTAAAAAATTAATCAATATCTTTGTTTCTTAGCTTCTTCGTATAAATCATAACATAAATCATCTGCTTCCTCTTCAGATGAGTCGGTGTTACTCTCTTTGTAACAAAAATTACACAAAAAGGAATCGTCATTATCTTCTGGCACATGCACCCTATGGGTACTTGGAATACAATTGAAGTGATACTTTTTTTGACATTGATTACATTTAATAATCTTCTTTTTGATGGGACTCAAGCAAAAATCACAGCAAGTAATTTTATCACATTTCGATGTTTTATTCTCCTTGAAAGAAGAGGTCTTGTTCTTCGCAACTTTACTAGTCTTTTTTAGAACAGCGTTTTCTTTCTGCGTTTTTTTTTCTTCGCGTAGTCTTTTTCTCTGTTCTTTGGCTTCTTCTTCTTCCTTCTTTTTTAATTGTTTTGTCTTCATCTTTTCTTGGTATACATCGGAGGTAAGTGCAAAAGGTAATCTTTCTATTTGGCGCTTACCCTGCCTTTTTGGTGAGTTTGGTTTCCTTTTCTTTAAATAATCTAACAGTGGTTCGTTTGATATAATCGTTATAATCTTATTTGGGTGAAGCTGCTGAAATGGACCTGGTTGCTCGTGAATTATTTCTTTTTGAACATGCCTATTATCTACTGGTACCTCTACATTTGTGGCATTTTCTGTTTCTTTTGAAAACTTTTGTTGAGTTGTATTATTTATATGTCTCAGTTCGCCAGTTTGTTCATCGAGGATAATATCGCTTTTTTCTGTTGTGAGGATCACATGTTCATCACAACTATTTTCCATAACAGGTGAAGTGTTGAATTCAGTAACTCTGTTACTAAATATCTGCCTAGTTTGTACACAATTAAAAAATCATCTGATTCATCTTGTACATCTAAATGTCCCTCAAACATTTTATGGCATTTATTTATATTTGACATTCCAACTGTGTTGCAGAAATCGGAATATGAAAGTTGCAACTGAGCTTCAGGCACTGAGGCTAGATTGGTAGTTTCAGCTTCTGGTGACTTGGAATTGGGTATGCATTTTGAGTAATCCACATTGTTTGGTTCAAAGGGATGCAAGCCACACACCCGGAAACCATTGATTAGTGTTTCTGGTTTTGTACATGATGCAACAACCTTCTTTAACAAGGGAGCAAACTTTTCTTTGGTCATACACACCTGATGATTATTCTCTGCATACCATTCATGAAGTGCCTTTTTCCAACCAACCTTGATGGGCCTAAATGCTGCGACGTCTGCTGGTTGTGATATACGCGTAGCGTTTGGGTAAAGAGCGATCAAATGAATTTGCAGGTTTTTGCACAGTTCAGATACCTCAATGGTTATATGTGTTTTATGCCCATCTACAAACAAAATTACTGGCCTTTGAATGTTTTTGTCCAATAGTTCTTTATTAAAGCAATTAGCGATGTAATCATGAAAAACTCCAGAAGTCATCCAGCCTGTGTCACTCCTGCCAATTCCCCATCCAGATGGTACGCTTATGGTGACCTTGTCGGGTATCCTTTTGTATGGATAAATAATCATAGGATAACAAATGTGACCTGATGCGGAGAAAGTAAACATCACAGTAATATTTTCTTTGGCTGATGCTTTTTCTATTTGGTACACATTCTTGCTTCCTTTCTCAGCCAGAACTCTGCCTGATTTCGGACAAATATTAAAGCCCGTCTCATCAGCATTAAAAATGCGAGTTGGATCATTGAGCACGCCTTCCAGTCCATTTTCAGCAAAATATTGATTAATTTCTGAGAACCATTTCCTGATATCTTGTTCAGAAACGCAAGCACTGGCATTGGTAACTCCCTCAGATGTACGATACGTAATATTCGGGTTACGTTTCATAAAAGATTTGAACCAAGTCTCCCCTGGCTTGTTGTTTCGAAATGGGTTCGGTCTAGGATTTTTGTTTAAGAAATCTTGTACACAAAGAAGTAAATCATCTTTTTTCAGAGGAAACCCTTGCCTGGCTAAGTCTGTAATAAATTTGGATAATTCTCGCTCTTCATCTTCACTTAATATTGGGTCAGGGCCTGATTTTGGCTTAATATGAGGATTCTCAGCCTTGAATTGTAGGGTACTTCTTGGAACATTGAATTTCTTTGCCGCTTCACGAATGGACCCTTCCTTGTTTTCTATAAATTTCAAAGCATTGTTAAGATCTTCTTGGGAATACTGTCGTCGCTTAGATGCCATCTCGCTTATATTCTAGACGTCTGTAAAAGAAACTTGGTTAGTTTAGTTATTGGCCATTGCTTTTAGTTACTAGCCACCTATGCCAGTAACTGAAACCCATCAGTAGAAATTGATGATTTCTTGTCTATGGATTCTAAACCATACAAATATGAGAAAGAAGGTATAAATTCGTATTAATTCGATGACCATAAGTTAATTTAGTTATTGGCAGGCCTGGCCAATAAATAAAAATATGTAAAATAATCATTCAGTTACTGGCCACCCTTCAAAACTAAAGTTTTATTAGAATAATACGAAATACGTTATTAGAATAACAAAACTTACCATTAAAGCAACACGAATAATACAAAACACTTTCGCAATACTCTTAAAATTACAATTAATTTATGTCTTTGAAAAAATATCTTCCGTTATCAACTACACTGAGAGGATACGTTCACGGAGGCTTCTGTTCGCCAACTATCAAAAAATGGCGGCTCAGATTGGCGGTAGGTTCTGCAGCGGAAAAAAAATGAACTAAATTGTAACCTGTATAGAAAAGTAGTTCTTTATTAAAATTATAGATGGCAGGACCTTCCATATTTCTTATTTTTCACCGATCATGTGCAGTGTGGCCAATAAGTGACGATGGCTAATAAGTAGATATTTTACCTATTTATTATCGTTTCTCCTGGCCTGGCTTAGGTAGCCGACCCCGAACAATTCGGGGAAAAACTTTTATTATTTTTGAACACGTGCGTGATGGAAGCGAGTAGTACTTTACAGGTATTCAGAATCGTCTGTCTGGCAACACTACTTTTGTAATTAAATTTCTATTTTTTTTTGTCATCATTTGATTATCAACAATAAAACTCGTTTACTCATACGTTATTTTATAATTTGGCTCACTTAATTCAACGGTTTTTTACTGCGAAGTAAAATAGGCCTCGCGAACTTGATGTCGCCGACGTCCACATGTGGTCTAGCGCCGCCACTCGGGCACAGGGTAGGGGATTGGGTCAAGGTAGGCCACGGTCCTCCAAGTAGGCCTACACGAGCCAGCGCCCTGCGCATGCTCGTGGCCCGCTCAATTATGGCGAGGTGAAGTTCCCGGGGAGTTTAGTGGAGTATTCCCGGCTATCTCTTTAACCGGGAGAGTCCCGCACATCCCCGCTCTCTAGCCCAGTGGGCGGGGACGGTGCTTAAACGCATTCTCCCCGTTAAAAAAATGATATTTTTGGTACGAGGGCGGGATGATAAGTAACTAGCCTAATAAGAAAACACTTAACTTTCCGTGATAAAATTAATTTTATTTTTCGACATTGTCTCCGTGAACCTCCACGCACTTATTCCATCTTCGTTCTAAAGCAGTAATGCCTTCTGATCTGCTAAAACCATATCATGTACTTTCACGACCATTTCCGGAGTCGTGACGCTTTTTGGACGTCCAGGGCGGGCTTCATCTTGGACATATGTACGACCGCGTTTAAACTCACCCACCCAGTTTTTTACTGTGGCATAAGAAGGAGCACATCCACCTAAAACATTCTTTAACTCGTCATAGATATCTTTCCCCTTCATGCCCTTCATATGAAGAAACTTTATCGCCGCTCTTTGTTCAATTTTATCCATTTTGAAAACAATTGACGAAATATATTTTCAGATGACAAAAAATCAATAAAATTTTCATGCCACCAAATTTAAATTTAGAACACAGGTGGCCAAAGATAGGAATTAAAAATTACAAATATATTTTTTAAATTATAACGATTTAAATAGCAGAGGCTAGTTACTTATCATCCCGCCTTCGTATCTTAAGCGTTATAAGCTATGGTGTCCGCTTACATTCAGGCGGACCATACGCTTGTTTACCATCATTACCCTTTTAAAATTAAAATAATACCCTTTTAAAATATATAAACAGAGGACACTGACCAGTGTGGGAACATTTTATATGCTGATGATGCTGATAATGAAGTCACTTGACTTTGGGACAAGACCAGCCATTGTCTAACGTAAATCTGTCTACTCACATTTCGTACATCACGTCCCTAGTCAGACTCGTGTAGAAGACTGAGTCCTCGTCTCCCATCTCCATCAGCCTCTTGTGGAGCTCATCGGCATAGTACTCCAGGAGGGATGACAGGTGTTCATCTCTCTGAGGTTTCTCCAGACACATATAGGTGACGTAAGCCAAGTCCAGGGCGGGAGACGCGTATCTGGCCAGCTGGAAGTCCACTAGATACATCTGTCAATAACGTTTTATAGATAGGTAAGTAGGAAAGTCGCATAGGAACAAAATGGCCAGTCTTATGATAGCAATTTACATGGTTATTCAGTCCTTATTTGTGTTCAATTTATTCGCCAAAATTGTCGAAAAAGTTGGGCCGGAAATAGCGGTGATGACGTACAGTAAACGAAATTCTATTAAGTCCGTCAGTTAGATGATCAAAAAATAATGGACACGTATTTTTTTTCAAATCAATATATCTCTGCAATGTTTATATTATGTGAAAAAAGAAAAAACACGTGTCCAATACTTTTTGATAATCTACCTGATAAACGAAGAAAAAAAAATAGTCGTCATCCCTATTGGTAGAGTGGTATGCCCTTTGAATATACAGGACTATACAGGACTCGGGACCCAACAAATAACCCACAGATCAAAATATTTGGATATATCCGATACGACCACTTGCATCCTTGGTCCATTACTCTTTGACAGAAGGCAATAATATGAAGAATTGATAGAATAACTAAAACAGTTTTTCGGCCAATAGATGACTATAGATACTCATTAAAATATTACCTCAGCAATATCGCCGTCGACATATCGGAACAGGAAATTGTTGGTCCAGCAGTCCCCATGACAGATGACGGCCAGCGGCTCTTTGGGAGTCACTAGATCCACCATCGTCTGGAAGAAGGTGTCCTCGCAACAGAACCGCCTGAACTTCTCCAAGTAGACGTCTTTTTTGGGGTGATGTTGCAGTTCTGTCTCCACCATGGAGATCGCGTTGAGCGCAGCCTCTTTGTAGTAATTCTTGTAATAGTCCTCGTTTTCTGCTACGAAGAATACTGGAAGTAAGGGTGGGGTTATATGCTGTGTAGTAAGGTGCAGGTGAGGGGGCGATCGTTGAAGTTAAGCAACATTCGCAGTGGTCGGTCATCGGATGTGTGATCAAAAATTTACTATCTCGAGCTTCTCCATGCTTCGGAAGGCACGTTAAGCCGTTGGTTCCGGCTGCATCTGCAGTCGTTAGCACCCACCAATCCGCATTGGGCCCGCGTGGTGGGTCATAGCCCAATCTCCCTATTCCATCCATAGGGAAGGCCTGTGCCCCAGCAGTGGGGACATTAATAGGCTGATGATGATGTGAGTAAGGTGCAATTAAAGACATTGTCCAGTGGCGGCTTTGTGGCTTTATTGTGCAGGGTGTTCTTGCACACGGAGCAGAGGTCTCAGGAGGCGCCACCATTACTTTCTGACCGATACTAAAAGCTTTTACTATAGAAATGAATATAACAGGCAGCTCGTGACTCTAAATGACATTCAACTTGGAAAGAGAGGTACGGTATAGCGAATTTTTCGCTCTTACTGGAGCGCCTGCCTGGGGAAGTGACCTTCACCTTAAAGAAGACCACAGTAAAATAACACTACCTTTTGGTGTTTCTGTCGGTAAGTAAGGCTCCAGGGCTCCACGGGGTAGGGGATTGGGTCAGGGAAGGCATCAGCGCGAAGGATCTTTTTGGTATCGCAATCGCACTGCCGGATTTAGGGGAGGGCAACCGGGGCGAAAGCCCCGGGGCCTCCACAAACGGGGGGCCCCCACAATAGAGACTTGGGAAAAAACAATCTTTCAAATTCCAACTAGTAAACATCTTTTCCTTTGATATTTTTTTTTGGACTTTTACCTTTACCTTTACCTACAGTACTTTGTACATCTAACATACATGATTATTTGATTATATTAATCTTAAATAACAGAAATCATTGATCTATATTTGTTCACTCCAATCAGGCAATCAGTGAAATATCAAAATCTCAAATGGGCCTGATAAGCACTTCCAATTCACTACCCATCTTGAGGGAGTACCCCAATCGCTTAATGGCTGAGTGGGGTGGTACTTGCCAATAGGGCCGAATTTAAGGCAGGGCAGGTGGGGCTGTGGCCCAGGGGCCTCCACAACAGCTTAAGAAATAACAACATTTCGATGGGTTAACAAGAATACAAATCCTAAGTGGCCCGGGGCCTCCACAATCCCAAATCCGGCCCTGCGCAAGCGTCTATAGGCTGTGGACGCCACTAGCTTGTTTGCCACCCTTTTTAAAATAAAAAAGACGTCTTTGAGTATGGCCATTCCTTGATCTACCTTTTACGATTTATGAGTTAACCCGCTGACAATGTATGGAGGTTGCATTATCTGACTTGTACTCTACCTTCTGATATTCCATCTTTCACGTTAAGCAGCTCGTAGAAATCTTCAGGATTGTGGCACTTCATAGCTAGTGAGAGAGAATGGAAATGTGCCAGGTGTTTCATCACAAAATAGGCTTGCTCGATGCTCAATCCCTTCCTTCTATCGGGCATGACGAAACCAAGCCTCTTCAGATCTTTCAAGACTACCGTATCGCTTTGTGCCAAGTAGCATTTGGGGATTGATTTGAAGGGCGTTTTCAATCCTTCCCATTGATTCTGGAAGCTGGTAAGCGCCGGCCAGATTTTGTTGTAGAAAGCGACTTCGTTGCAGAAGAGCACGTCGCTTTTGAAAGCGTCTCTGAGGTGTATACTTTCGGGAAGACATTTGTATATGATTGAGCTCTCCCAAGGCTCTTGGGTTGCGTTGGAGCCGTCAGGGTCTGTGTGCCGTCTGGTCCCCTTGAGGGTGATGCGGTATACCATCGAGGTGTAGTTGTCACCGCGCTTTGAGCCTGGCGCCCCCTGGGGATAAACACATTTTTAATTCATTTAGAAAATACTCCTAATGACATTGCGAGATTGGCGGATAATCAAGATTAGTCTTATTCTATACAGGGTGTGAAAAAACCGATAACGAAGTCATAGGCCACGTATTTTCCACATCATGACGATCATTTTTTTCTTCTGAACCATACCTGGGAAATTTATGGTTATGGAGATATTGAAGGTCAAAGCCAAAATATTTTTTCAAGATTTATACATTAATATTTTCAAAACGTTATTTAGAAACTTTATTTATCGACGCACTTACACACGCATACACATACACACAGGCACATTATTTGCGTCGCTATACAATGCGTACTGGATAAAAAAGTTTTTTTTTAACTTAAAAATACAAAATTTTCCCAGGTATAATATTTTGTAATATGACTTATTTGGGTGTACAGAATGCGTAGTTTAAGTCTTTGTCATAGGTTTTTTACACCCTGTATATAAAACTCTCGTGTTACAGTGTTAGTTACCATACTCGTCCGAAACGGCTTGACCGATTTTTATATTTTATATGTATATTCAGTAGGTCTGAGAATCGGCAACTATCTATTTTCGTAACCCTAAGTGATAAAGGTTTTTTTTCCTAAATGGCTTCGCACGGCTTGTGCATTTAGCCAATGTCAAGTGTTAAACATTTTTACAAATTCTATAGCACTCGTGGTCAAAGTATTATATTAAGTCAAAGTAAGTGGCAGTTAAGTCAATCTCCCTTTCCCTATGTTTCAGTAAATGTGTGGGGATTTACTGGAACCTCCCCGTGGACTTCTTGAGGGAACGTCGAAAGACACTTTCCGCTATTTTGTTTCACTTGCCAACACTTGTGCATGTTCCCGAACACTTAGTGATTAATAATCCACCATTATTAGACACTAACATGAGCCACAACACAATTTTTAACAAGAAAAACAAAACTGCTAAAGTGACGCTTTCCGATCCGCCAAAAAGTCGTGATAAGGGTTGTATACCCCTAACATTTATTTTTATTTTTTATAATGTTGTATTAAAAAATGCATTCAACCCTTTTACCACCAGCCCCTATTTTTAGGGCGGTACGAAGTTTGCTAGGTCAGCTAGTATTATATAAATAAATACAGTTAATATTTAAAATACATTATTAAAAGGAGTCCCTTTAGGCAAGGTTCCAAATATACTAGACGACCTCCGTGGCCGAGTGGTTTGTACGCCGGGTTTCATGGCTGTCGCCGACTCGAGAGGTCCGGGTACAAATCCCGGTGGGGGCAGATGTTTGTGTGATGAATACGAGCATTTGTACTCCAGTCATGGATGTTTATTATGTATTTATATAAATATACTTATATATGTACAGTATATGTATTCTATCCGTTACCCTAGCATCCCATAACACAAGCCTTATAGTGCTTACTTTGGGGCTAGGCTAATTGGTGTGAGTGTCGGAAATATTTACTATTTATTATTATTTATACTGGCAGTGTTCACCCTTTGAATAGCTAGACTAATTCTTTGTCCGAGGTAGCTGACAGCTCTTCGGTCTTTTGTGATGTCGACTAACCTTTTTGATATTTCCTTAAAAAGCCTTACAGCGCTAGGACCCCACGGACCAAGGGTCTTGTTGAGTTAAATAAGCTTTCAAAAAGTTTAACCAGGTGACAACACTGTCTATGACACTCTATGTTTTATTGTACATCGTATTCTTGCTGTGCAGTTGAAGAATAAAAGTTTTCATATCTAATTAATTACCATCTTTTACTTGATAAAACATCCATCTCGACACCGAATGGGTCAAAATAAAATATATATAAATTAATTGGATTTGCATATTTTCATACCCCAGTTCCTACTGGGTCCTCCTAAGGCATGGAAAAACAAAGTTAACAAACGATATACTTTGCAATAAATGTGTCCAACAGAAATGGATAAACAGATAATTTGACCGTTATTATTAATAGGTGAAATAATTTGTTGCAGTTGTTAGCACCCGCCAATCCGCACTGGGCCCTATTCTATCCATAGGGAAGGCCTGTGCCCTAACATGGCACCAAAGATGCTTGAAAATTTGACCTGCCACCTGCTGCTTGAATTTGTTAACAATGCAGTTACGAACTATATTACCTACCTATATATCTTGCAACTTTCAAGAACAATCTTCATGAACATCTTTTATCAAGGTCCTATTTTGCAACGTATAACTTATATTTGTAGTGTATATGTATATATTATTCTATTAATATTATGTTATATTTACATCAGTACCTATATGCATTGTATGTATTTAATATAATATATGTATTGTTATTTATAATTTATTTTATATTTTGCTGGCACATTACTCTTCTATCTCTGTTAAACTATCCTTCGACTTATAAGACCGCCTTTACCCACCACAGTTGACTATCTGTTTTGTAAATTAAATAAAATCGCGTAATCGCGTACGTAAATAAAATTTTGTTTATCCGTGCGGTGACGGAGAAAGAATACAACTCACCGCCCCTTTTCTTCCCGTGGGTGTCGTAAGAGGCGACTAAGGGATATCGGAGCTTCCATCCACTCTGCTGGTGGTAGGGTGCCTAACACCCGCCTGGTTTGTTACCACCGTGCGCATGGTGAAAAACCCGTGAAGTGCTTCTCGCGCGTTTCGGGGTCAGCCAGCGTACAACCAGGGCTTGAGTGTAGGTTGTCGCGACGGATTCGGTCCAGGGCGAGGCATCCGTCGAACCGATGCCGGGAGGACTACATCGACCCGCCGGCCAGGGAGACCCGTAGAAACGGTTGTCCCGCTGGCCGCCCGTGGCACAGTACAGGGGCCCAAGCGTTCCTAACCAGTTCGCGAGGCTGCCCCATCATGTCACGCATAATCACGGGGTGGACCGTCGTGCCGGTTGGTGACCGGGGCGTGGGGTCCCGGCGGCCACTTCCGGGGGGGTGCGGGGGCCCTTCCGTCCGGCGGGTCGGCGTATATCCTCTGCAGGCAATTATTCGGGGAAACATGCCTCCCTAATTTGCCCGGTCTTGTCGCGACAACGTCCACTCGTTTCACGTCTCTTTATCACTTCCATAATGGCAGCTCTCAAAACAAAGTTTGGACGTACAGCGGTGCACACCCCCACGCCTTCAACGCTGTTTGAGGTCGAGTTCTGCAACATACGCGGACTCCACTCTAACCTCAATGCTGTCCACCACCATCTTGAGACAGCACGGCCAGCATTGTTGTTCCTGACGGAGACACAAATACTTCCGCCTGCTGACACAGGCTACCTTAATTATCCCGGCTACGTGCTTGAAGAGTCCTTCAAAGCGAAAGCCGGTGTATGCCTGTATGTTCGGGCGGATGTTTGTTGTCGCCGTCTTCGCTGCTTGGAAGATCCCTCCTTCTCCATGTTGGGGGTACACGTCGATTCTGGTCCCCAGGCCAGAGTCTACGTGTGCCTCTACAGATCCCACACTGGCGATGTTGAGACAACTCGACTTTTCGAACATCTTAGTCGGGCAGCAGATGACGCGCAGGAGCAATTTCCCAATGCAGAATTGGTGTTTTTGGGGGACTTTAATGCTCACCACAATTTGTGGTTAAGTTCCTCGAAAACTGACCATGCAGGGATCTCTGCTCACGCGTTCGCTCTCACGCAGGACTTGAAACAACTGGTCGATCAGCCAACCAGGATTCCAGATATTTCAAGTCAAGCGCCTTCATTACTGGACCTTCTGCTCACGACCCATCCACAGGGCTATCAGGTTGTCGTAGGAGCCCCCCTGGGCTCTTCAGATCACTCAGATCACTCAGCCTCCACGTCCAACGGTGGTAAAACGCCGGATTTGGCATTATGGGTCGGCAGATTGGGACGGTATGCGTGACTACTTTGCGTCCGTCCCTTGGAAGCAGCGCTGCTTCAGTGACAAGGACCTATCAGCCAGCGCCGTTGCTATTACTGAGGAGATTGTAATGGGTATGGAATACTATATTCCTCATTCCAATCTCATCAGTAAGGGCACACGTAACCTCTGGTTCAATCACGACTGTGCTGAAGCTGCTTCGCGTAAGCAAGCGGCATATCGTGCTTGGATCAGAGGCCGCGCTATGAAGGATCCCGGGGTCGATTCACTAAAAGCAGCCTACAATATTGCTTCCAAGGCCTGTAAGAAGGCTTACATCAGAGCGGATGCCCAGCGCGTAGCACGTGTTGGTCACGAACTTATAACGCATCCTACGGGCTCCCGTAGCTATTGGCGTGTGGCCAAGGCCGTGCAAAAGAACTTCTGCCAGCCCTCGCTGCCACCTCTGAGATGCCCAGACGGAACACTAGCTCATAAGCCGCAGGAGAAAGCCGATTTACTGGCAAAACTCTTTGCGGCTAACTCCCGAATCGATGATTGCAATGCACCGCCACCATCATTACCTCATTGTGGCACAATGATGCCGGATATCAAAATCAGGCAGCGTGAGGTTCGTGCCGAATTGCAATCACTCAACGTCCGGAAAGCTAGTGGACCCGATGGCATCCCAGCAGTAGTACTGAAAAAATGTGCAGCGGAGTTGTCTCCCGTGCTCACGCGTTTGTACCAGTGCTCGTATTCTTAGGGGCGTGTGCCGGAAGCTTGGAGAGATGCTAACGTGCAACCGGTACCCAAAAAAGGGGATCACTCAGACCCGGCTAACTACCGGCCAATAGCAGTCACCTCAGTATTATGTAAAGTCCTAGAAAAGGTCCTTAACAACCATCTGACCCGCTACCTAGAGGATCACTCCCTGATCAATGATCGTCAATATGGTTTTAGACCGAAACGATCGACGGGTGATCTTTTAGCGTACTTGACTCATATCTGGGGTGAGGCTATCGACAAGCGAGGCGAGTCGTTGGCTATTAGCCTTGACATTGCCAAGGCATTCGACAGGGTCTGGCACAAAAGTCTTCTCTCCAAGCTTCCGGCATACGGTCTGCCGGCCCAGTTCTGTTCTTGGGTAGCTGACTTCCTGCATGAGCGTAGAATTC